CCAGGATCTGCGAGGCTGGCGACGGGCAGCAGGGCGGTGGGGGGCGCTGACGCTGAGGGGGCGTCTGTGCTACTTGGAAAGTGTGACTGTGTTCTGAGGACGCGTCAGAAGAGTGGCAGGGAAGAGGGTGACTGGCCCCGCGAACAGTGGCTCTGGGACAGCCAGCAGAGCCTGCCGATCTCTCTCTGGCCCTGGAGGGCGCCCGCCGCGCAGGACGGGGCCGGTTGTGCTGATTTGGGCCTCCCTCTGCCGGAGGCTCTGATGTAACTTTAAGGCTCTTCCCGGGTGGCACCGAGGCTAGGAACAGCCAGCTGTCTGTTTCCTTCCTGCCCCGACCGGAGGCCTGGCCTAGGGGGGTCTCCTTCCTAGCCCCAGGCCTCCTGGTGGTCAGCTCTCTCCTCCTCCGGCTGGCCCTCCCCTGGGCATGTGGTCAGGAGTGGGCCCCTCACCCTCCTCTCAGGTGGGCGGAGGGGCTTGGTCAGAGTGGGGAGACTGAGGCTGTCAGCCTAGGCCCCCCATCCCACCGGCTGCCTGGACTTAGAGCACCGAGTTCGCTCTGGGAGACCTTGGGGGCGGCTAACTTCTGAGAACCCACAGATGCATTCCCCAGCCCTACTCCCTCTTTCATGGAGACAGGCTGTGGCTCCTCGCAGCCCGGAGAAGCCCAGAGCTGAGCTGTTGGTGCTGTGCACATACTGCTAAAGTGTTTCTATTGGTTTGCATAGTATTTATTATTTTTCATATACACAAGGCTGATTACTGTACAGTTTACACTTTGAACACAGACTATGATATAGGTGCTTGAAGATATAGAAAACCTCTTCTCTAGTGAACATGCTGGTGCAATCCCGGGACAGCCACCAACTGAGAGCCAAGACCCTTTGAGACGGGGCACTGGCTCCCTGTGAGCCCTACAGCTACGCCTGGGGTCCTCACCTCAGCTTCTTAAGTCCCTAACACAAGGAACCCCGAATGCACTCCAAAGGTAATGATTTTCCATGGGAAGATGATTAATACTGAAACTGGCAGAGAAAGAGAGAGAGAGAGAGAGAGAGAGAGAGAGAGAGAGAGAGAGAGGCAACATAAAAAAAATTCCAGTTTATCCACAGGAGATTCTATACAGCTTCAGACATCACAGTAAAATCTGTGTGTATACTGAGTAGAGGGGAGCGGTGCCTCTGTGTGTGTCCTTAATGTCATGTAGAGAGTTCTGGGGCGGGGGGGGGGAACGGTCCACTGGGGAGAGGGAGGGGCTGTCACAAATGGAATGGGGGTGTGTGTGGGTAGGGAAGACTGGCAGATGAGGACATAGGATTAAGGTGCTGAACTGATTTCAAGCCTAGTTCTCTTTTTTTTTTCTTTCCAGGAAGCCCATATAGATTTCTTAGAGATATTGAAAAAATAAGTACCCTGTAACAAGTCAAAATGAAAATGTTTTAAAAAAATATATCATCCCCAGCCACAAAGAGCCCTTGTTCACTTCTGCATTCATGCGCTCTCTTGCGCTTGCTTTCTATCCCTCTCCCCCCGCACCCCCCCATTCTTGCTGCTTTTGTCCTGATTCCCAACAGAGATCGGTTGTCGCTAGAGGCAGGATTGAGGACTGTAGGTCATGCGTCTACAGTCGGTCATTCATGCGAATAGGAGACTAGAGGAAGTCCCTTACGGAGATCATGCCGTTAGCCTAGAGGAACATGTGCGCCGTTGTGCTGCCCTCCGGTCCAGCTCTCCTCCTGTGTGCATGGCAGAGTGTGTGGAGTTCAAGGGTTGGGTGTTGAGGTGTGATCCTAAGGGACACAAAGAGAGAAGGAGATACTTAGAATTTAAAGGTGCAACTCCCAGCAAAAACCCCAAATACTGAGTTTTGTGCTGGCTGCTCAGGCAGGGTCTGATTCAGGAAAAGCAGCCTCCCCAAGCAAGGCGATGAGCAGAAAGGTGTTGAGCTGGAAGCCCCTGACCTTCCTGAAATACCAGCCACCCTTCCCCACTCCCCACCCCAGAGGCTGCCTCTCAGAGGTGGCTGACCTGGCCGGTCCTAGTTCCCTGCCATACAAAACCCTCCTGTGTGGGTGCTCAGAGCCTCGGAGAGGAGGCAGGAGGCTCTCATGCCTATGCAGTCACCTGGGGGAGAAATGACTAGGTCTTGTACCTACGAAAGGGGCCATGATCATGAGCCAGGGCTTGTGCCAAGAGAGGGGCGAGGCTAGGCAGTGGGACCCTCTACTTTTTCAGTTCAGTGTAGCCAACATGCATCGATATCTGCTATGTGTCATCCCCGGGATCCCGGAGATGGAGGAGACAAGATCATGGCTCGAAGGGACAGCAGTGCCTCTTTGGTTCTGGTCCACAGCTCTTACTGTCAAGGGCCTCTAGCTCGTCTCCTCATGCCCCGTGGATGGACAGCCTCTGCTGTGGCCATGAGATCGTTGGAAGACCGGTGTAGTCTCCCTAAGATACTGTGCTTCAGGCTAGAAGACAGCGCTTCGCCTGCAGCATCAGTTCCACATTCTGCAGCCTGGGATTCACAGCGAGACCCCACTCCTGCCACCCCACAGTGCCTCATCCCCCAACCTGGGGTGAAACTCTGTTTCCAAGACCAGCCACTTGGGATTGTCTGCAGGGACCTTGGGATGGACGAGGAAAAGGAGGACACTTAAATAAAGAGGAGCTGCCAATCTCCTGGGTGGTGCAGGAAGTGACAAGGAATGCAGAACCCCATTCTGTCCCCACGCAGAGCTGTCTGGGGCCCTATAGGTGACAGGGTTGGGAGGAAGCTGGAGGTGACCAAGGTGAACTCACTCTGAATGGTTCTCCAGGAGTGGGAGGGTGGTGCTAGGTTCCTGGCCAGAGGCCTTCTACTGCTGTGGCTTGAAGGAGCTGTCACCCTGGAGGACAAGACTCTTCCGTCATAGTACCCTGCCTTCGAGCCCCCAGTGCCTGCCAGCTGCCTGCCTTTGTCCGTGGCTCTCCCGGCAAGGGTACTATGCACTCTCCTCTCCCCTAAAGTTCTGCCCACCGCCCTCAAGACCTCTCTTCCACAAAGCCTTCCTGATGACGCTGGCTCACTCTTGTTTCTCCCCTCACAACCCTGGAAACTTCTCTCCTGTCACTACCTTTATTTAGAGCGATCACACAGCGTAGTGGTTAAGAGCATGAACTCTGGAGCCAGATTGCCTGAGGTTCATGTCCTGTCTCAGCCAATTTCCTGCTGTGTGACCTTGGTCAGGTTACTTACGCTCTCTATAACTCAGTTTCCTCTGCTGGAAAACAAGGGCAATAAGAAGATGCACCTCACCCAGGCTCGTTTGGCTCAGTGGGTAGAGTGTTGGCCTGTGGACTGAGGGGTCCAGGGGTTGATTCTGGTTAAGGGCATGTACCTCAGTTGCAGGCTCGATACCCTGCCCTGGGCCCTGGTTGGGGCACGTGAGATAGGCAATCAATTGATGTGTCTCTCTCACATCGATGTTTCTCTCTCTCTCTCCCCTTTCCCTTCCATTCTCTTAAAAAAAATCAATGGGAAAATATCCTCAAGTGAGGATTAACAAGAAGAAGAAGAAGAAGAAGAAGAAGAAGAAGAAGAAGAAGAAGAAGAAGAAGAAGGAGAAGAAGAAGGAGAAGAAGAAGCACCTCATTAGATTATTATGATGTTTAGAAGAACTAAAGGTATATAAAGTGCTTCGGACAGTAAACGGTATGTGAATGTAACTACAAATGGACTCTCTGGAAATGCTGTCGTCATTCCCTTTTCCTGTCTGCATTCTTCCCCTAGCTGCAGTACAAACTCTCTGAGGGCAGCAGCCGGCCTTACCCTTCCTGGTGGTCCCCCAACTGCCTACCCCAGTGCTAAGCATGCCTCCAATAAGAGACCTTGTAAAATCTTGGCCCTGGGGAAGTCAGGCTACAATCTCTCACGCGCTTTTCTGCCCAGGCAGGGAGCAGAAGAGATCATTCTGTGGTGACTGCTCGTTTCATCTGTGGGTAAACGGAGACTCCCGAGGAGCGGACAGGCCCAGTGGGAGCGCCCAGGCAGCAGCAGAAGGGGGAGCAGAATGCAAGTCTCCTGGCCGCGTCCGGGATTCTTCCTCAGTCCCGCACCCCTTCTCCTGGGGGCCCCTTGAGAAAGGTCGTACTCTATATGGAGCCCCCCATGCTCAGTGGCTGCACTGGTCGGGTTCTTTTCCTCAATGCATCTCTCTGAGCTGTCCCACCTGTTCCCACCCTCTACTCAGTGTCTGCGGCTCTCTCTCCCCTCTCCCCAGCCCAGACTTCAATACACCTGCAATATCTGGGAGTGAGGGCGGACTGTAACTTAAAACAGCCAAATAAAACACGACCCCTACCCCCCTGCCCCTTCCCATTGAGATTATTACATTTTAAACCTAAAATATTCTACTGTCTGAGCTAACACGAGTCTTGCGACCCTACTGTTTGAATAGAAAGTGTCTCTTAAAAAGGAAACAAAACACCCAGCAGCCTTTCACGCTGCAGCTTTCAGCTTTCCGAGAGTCCCAGAAGGCGGAGCCAGATAGGTGCAGAGGACTGCCAGGAACCAGGCCCTGTCCCAGGTCTGTCCACAGCCCTCCAGCTGCCCAGCTACATGCTGTCGTTCTAACAGCTCTGACACCCTTTTTCTTGGCCCTAAGTACTTGGGCACAAAGCAAAACTCACCAGCTGCTACGGTCTGCCCCAAACAATCAGGCCTTGACTGAACAGCAATTGTCTAACTTCTTAAAAACTACCCAAAAGCTCCCCTCCCTGACCCGCCAGGCCTTACATGCAAACTTCTTCCCAAGGTGGGAGTGACTGTGGGGACATCAGAAGGGGCGGTTGTTGTCTGCTCGGTCCTCCCAGGGGATGGGTGTTCTGCTCTTTTGGGGTGTTCCACATCTCGGAACCAACTCTAACCATCATTCCTTCCAGCTCACCTTTTAAATCTAAAGTCTACAACTGTGCCACATCACCTCTAGGAGGTTTCTAAGGGAAAACCAAAACCAGCCATCCTAATTCACTCTTCCATATGCATGTCAAAATCACTTAAGCTGATGCAGAAGCTGAGCCCTAGAACTTTAATCCGGGGGGTCTGGGCAAGGACCAGGAGTCCGAATTTTAACAGACTCTCAGCTGACTGAGTGGGAGGGATGCAGATAACACTTTGAGAAACAGCGGATTCGAACTTACACTTTACAAAGTCGGTTCACAAACATAAACTCCTCGGTCACCCTCCCTGTAAGGGGGATATCTGTGTCATTGTTATTTTCTGACCAAGGAACCCAAGGCTTTGAAAGATCAACAGACTTGTCCAGGTTATACTACAAATCAGCTCTGTGACTGATTAAGCGCCAGAATACAGGCGTTCTCCTTTACCCTTCACAACCTGTAAACCAGAGGAGCCAGGCCTCAATCTAAACCCAAGCCCCAGCTTTCACCCTCTTTGAAATATATGCATCGATTCTCGTTACCTGCAGTAATGTTCTACAAAATTGGCCACAAACACTGGATTAGCCGGTACTGAACCATTGCTCCTGAGGAAAATACAGCGCCAGGCTCCTGCCAGCCTCCGTTCGCAATATTTTTGTCAACTAATGAATACATAACCTTGTGTGATGTGAGTTTCTGTTTAAAGACACCTTCTTTAATATATATCATTGGCTCATTAACATTGAATGCATGGCCAACAGTGCTCTAACTCGTGCTTGAATGAAGCTCATGGAACACATGTATTTTCCATGTCACAGCCTCCTGCACTTAGGAACATCACAGCCTCCTGCACTTAGGAACACTAGACAGCTCTGCAGCACTAGTCTTGGAGGCCATCTTATTTTATTTTTATAAATATATATATTTTTTTTATTTCAGAGAGGAAGGGAGAGGAAGAGAGATATAGAAACACCAATGATGAGAGAGAATCATGGATTGGCTGCCTCCTGCATGCCCCCTACTGGGGATTGAGCCCATAACCCGGGCATGTGCCCTGACCAGGAATCGAACCGTGACCTTCTGGTTCATAGGTCAATGCTCAACCACCAAGCTACACTGGCTGGGCTTGGAGGCCATTTTAAACAGCGAAATCAACAACAGATAGCCCCAAAATACAAAAAAAGAAAAGAAATCAGCCCGTGGCATTAAATACACTACAAAAAAGACACTTGTTTATATATGGTATGAGAGCTGAAACCAGAGGGCAGAGCGCCACCTCGTTTGACTTCAGCTGGGAACAGACTCAAAAATTTTTCACCACTGTGCGTGGGCCCATGAGTGACCGTGGACGTGCTGTGAGTGTTGGTTTGGGGGTGAACATAAATTTGAGTTAGTAGGTGGATCTGCAAGTGTGGAGTCCACGAATCATGAAGGCCGACTGCACATGCTTGCGAGTGGGTGGTAGCATTAAGGATCAGAGAGCTCTCACCCCCTTCACCGTCCTCTCTGCGGTCTGTCTTGCTGGGAGGGGAGCGCATTGTGGGCCCTTTGGGACCCAGGCAGGTGCCCGCCTCACTACTGGCTCCCTCCCCACTGTCCCACCACACACCCCTGGCCTTTTCCGGGCAGAGGCCCCAGCACTGTGCTGGAGCCAGGCTGCTCTGTGTCCCTGACACCCAACTCAGTGGTCTGGACCCACATCCCTGTGGGTGGTGCAGATAGAGCATCTACAGAAAAAAAAATTCCTAGGCACTGCCCTTCTCCCCAGGCTGGCTTCGGGGCTGCCTCTCTCCTGTTCAGGGGTGTCAGGAGGACCCAAGCCAGACAGGAGCTGAGTTTAAAGCCCCTGCTGCCGCCATGAGGAACAGAAGGCAGAGGAGTTTCTAATTATTTGCACCTTTGGATTATTTCCAGGGCTGATCACAGCGAATCTCCTAAACCAGCAGCCTGGCGGGACCCGCTGGCAGTGCCGGGGTTAACGCTGTGACCTCCTTAAGGGAAGCTGCTGAGGAGTCAGGTCTAATTTTATCCCATAGCTGGATCTGCCAGCCCCTTTTTGCCAAGTGCTGAGGTATCTTGGGAAACCCAGAGTCAGCACTTCTGGCGGCTGGGAGCAGCGGCAGCCCTGCCTTTTGCCGAGAGCAGAAAGCCGGAGCTGGCTCGCCGCTCAGCCCAGAGCCGGGGTCTGGGGGTTTGGATGGCAGCAGGCGGGTTAGTGCTGCGCTGGGGCCACGGTGCTTCCTCGCTTCCTGCCGACTCCCGCCCCGACGCATCCTGTACTGAGCTGCCCCGAGCCGGGTGCAATGAAGAACCTCGGGGCAGCTCAGTACAGGATCCCTCAGGGAGGATGAGGTCAGAGGGGACCGCTGAAGCCCCCGGCACCACAGGGCCCGCTGGAACATCTTCACGGCCCTGCTTCACGACACATCACCGCACACCAGGCTTCTCAGCCACACGGCCCCATGCTCACGCATGCCATGCACCAGGGCCCCACAGCCCTCCTGGCCTGTCGGGACAACACCACCACCCCTGGGCCTGCGAACTTCGCCCTTTCCTAGAAAGCAGGGCAGCGACAGGTTCCAAGAACCACCAAGGAGAATGGAGGCCTTAGGTTGGAGGGGACGTCTGCAGGGCTCCAGGTTCAAGGGACAGTCCAGTTCTAAGTCTGTCACTGTGGGTTGGACTAGCTCAGGCTAGACAGACTCAGCTTCCCTCTCTGATGCCCTGTCCCCATCTCCCAGGTCCCCACTGCTTGGTTGCCAGGGTGATGTTACTATGGCGATTACCAAGCGCTGTCACTCATCCAAGCATTTTTCAACTCTGTACTTTTGCACTTCCTGAGAGGTAGGTCAGCAGCTAGTGTTGACTCTGTTTTCTGGATGAGGCAATTGAGAGTCAGAGACACAGTTGGAAGGTGGGGATGAGAATCCATGCCCCTGGACCACAGCAACGCTGCCACCCTGCACCATGCTGGGAGGGGCGGGTGAGATGTGAGCAGCCATCCCCGGGCCCAGCCACTCCACGAAGACCAAGCCATGCAGAAAGGATGCAGAAAGACTGTTACCTCCAGAGAGGCCATTTGAGGGGGGTGCTCAAGATCACTGCTTCCCCCTTTTCAGGCTTGCCCGCTTCACTATCTGAGCCCCCTTCCTGCCCTCTATCAGGTCCGGCTGCAGGCTATTCCCTCTCCGCTCCACCTGGAGACAGCAGCAGAGACAGAACACAGGACAGATCGCACAGAGAGACAGGCAACAAGTGGGCAAGAGAATGAAAGGCATCATCCGGAGCGGGTGGCAACACTGCCTCCCGGGGAAAGGAAGGCTCGAAGGGGAACCCAGACGGGTGAGCACAGCACAGACTGGAACCCGAAGTGCCGGGCGCAGAGGCGAGCAGCAGGTACAGGTGCTGGGCCACTCGGAAGAGCGAGTGCCTCAGAGGCTGTGGCCACCACAGTACCTTGATGTGTCTCATAAAGTTATCAATATCAACTTCCATCTCCCCAGGATCTTCCTGGGGCCCCTCGACAATCACCTCCTCATGCTCCTGGGTGTCATCGCCACCAGACGACTCTATCTGCCGAACAACTTTGCGGATGATCTGGAAAAGAGAGGGCGGGGAGAAAGGGCTGGCGAAGCCATGACGGAGCTCAAAAAGAGCGGGTTCCCAGGAATGAAGTTGGGGGAGAGGCAGCCTTTGTCCTCAAGTGGCAAGAACAGGGATGGGTCTCTCACTCCCAGCACTGTGTGGAAACACTCGAGTTGGACAGCCTCAGAGGGACTAGAATTTGCAGAGGGGTCTTAGCAGGTTTTCAATGACACGGTTGGACCATGCGTAACTTCTGTCTTAGCCCACCGCAATTCCTCTGCCTCTTGGTATGGAGGGCAGTTTACACTGTCTGTCATACTTGTACACCTATGAGCTCCTGAGGGCAGAGGACATTTCCTTTTCAACTATGGTAATTCAATGCCATCTACCCATTCCCTTATTCATTCATCTAAGTAGTCTAGCAACTGTTTACTTTGCACCTACCATGTGCTAGGAGTGGGGGATGAAAACATAAACAAGCATGACCCCTGCCCGCACAAAGCTCGTGCGCTGAAGGACAGACGAACATAAGGGGTCTGCTCCAATGTAGTGTGAGCAGCATCCTAGGGGAGCACATACGAGGTCTTCCCTTTGCTCCTTCTTCTCCCTTCTGCCAAAACCTAGCAGAGTGCCCAACCCTAGACAGGCAACTTCATGTCTACCGAGTTAAAATCTGCTGCCAACTCAATGCATTTCCACATCCTTTTCATTTTAAGAGGCCAGTGATAGTCTGGGGACCACCATACTGCTGTCCTACAGCTATTTTCAGGGCTGGGCATCACAGGACTAGGTCTGGGCTGTTCCATGGGCTTCGGTCCTTCTGGAAGAGTGAGGCAGGAGCTCAGTTCAGGCTGAATCCGGGCAAAGTGGCTATGAGGAGTGTCACGTCCGGATCACAGAGGACAGGAGCCCGTGGCACCTGAACTGTCCCAGCTGAGCCATGCTTACCCCTCTGAGAGGGAGGCGGGTCCATGGCCTGCCCTTTAGCCTTTGGCCTGCGTGCCTCCCCCTAGTTCAGGGGACTCTCTGCACCCACCTTTTTGGTGACAATGTTGCCCTGCTCATCTGTGAATTGTTCCTCAGTCACCTGCTCCCCTGGAATATTCTGAAGCTCACTCCCCTGCAATTAGAGAAAGGGAGAAAACTCAAGATTCATAAGCAGGAGTCTGGGAACAGGATTAGAGGATGAGGAGATAGAATAGCAGCAGCAGCAGCCACAGCCACAGTCCGACAAATCCCCACCCCGGCCGGAAACTCCAACGCAGCAGGTAGAGGCAGCCAAACCACCCGCTCCAAGTGCCCAGAGCTTTGTGTGCGGTCCCCACAATAGCACCGGGGAGCAGGCAAACAGGGCCGATTATGCAAGTTTCACCGAGAAGACTAAGAGGAAGTGAGGCGCCTAATTTGCATTTCTACAGCACTTGACAGTGAAGAAGCCCTCCACAGACACCATCACACTGTGTGTAACTTGAGGACAGAAGCAGGATGAGAACAGTCTGCTGAATCCCAGAGCTGAGCTTTGTCAGTCCTCGCTGAGGGGTGGCTCTGCTCCCAGGGCAGAGCCTGTCCCCTGAGGCCTTCCTGTCCCTTCTCTTCCAACACATCTCCTGACCTGAAGGCCTGCGCCTTGCCCCAGCTCGTCCCTACACATCCCTGCACTGTGCCCTCAGCCCGGCCTCCTGACCTTCTGGCCTCCGCACTCCCACCTCCAGCTCCAGGCCTGCCTTTTGCCTCCGGCCTGGCGATTACCTTGAAGAGGACCCGACGCCGGACCACCCTGGTGGAGATGGTCTCCTCGTCGTCACTCAGGCCCTCGTTCTCCCCCAGCTCCTTGTCCAGTTCCTGGTGGATGTGCTTCAGCACGAAGCACAGAGAGCCCTTAAAAATGTGCATCACGTTCTGACAGCTGACCAGGAAGAAGCTCAGGAGCACCAAGGTGACCAGGAGCTGGGTGATGAAAGTCCACATCCTCACCAGCCCGCCCTCCGGGCGGCAGTGGAGCCAGGGCTCTGGCCGCTGCAGGGGTGCAACCTCTCATTCTCCTCTTGGACCCCCGAGGCCTCCTGGGACCCCTCCCATCCTCGCTCCTCAGGCTCCCACTCTTTCTCTCCAGGCAGAACACCGACCGGCCCTTCACTGGAACTGCCCGCCTGAGTGTCCTGCTGCCGAGCAGCCCCAGGCTCTACCCTCCTGCCTGGGTGACGTCAGGCTTTGATAATTTTAGCTTTCAACCCAGCTGCTGGGGCTGTCCAACGGGGCGAGAAGAAAGCCGGCAGGTGTGTGTGTCCCGGGCACGGGGAGAACATGTCAAAGTCACTGTGGGAGACCCTGCCCCGCCCCACTGAGAGCCTGAGGAGGGACATGGCCCCTCACCTTTCCTCCCTGCCCGCCCCCATGGAACTAGAGGCAGCTCTGCCCAGGGAAGCGTTCTCGTTCAGGGACTCCACAAAATAAATGTCCGGAGGATAAGTGTCCGCAGTTACGTGTGTGTTTCCTGGGGCTGCTATTGCCTGATCAGAATGATGTTCTCATGGGGATGGGACCAGCTAATACCCTGGAGAGTTAGGGGTTTATTTCAAAAATAGCCCTGAGATAAGTGATTTGCCCAGGCCCAGTGCTGCAGGGCCCAGCACAGGTGGTGGGGCTGTGCAGTTCCCATCAGCCTCTTCACTGGGCACAGCAACCCTAAATGTAAGCGTGTAACCAGCGTGTCTATTTCAGGCCTGTCCTCAAAGGCTCTTCCCATGCTGACTGTCAACGCCCGCCCACGAAGAGCAGGAACCACGCGCATTAAGCCCGTCTTTACAGAGCTGATTCACAAATGCGGCCGCAGCAGCTGTGGCTGAAAGGAATTCACTTTTGGGATCAGGCTGTTCCTCCACGTGGCAGAGAGAACAAAGATCTGGGACACAGCACACTGACCTGACAACGCCCTCACTGTGGGGAGTTGGGGAAGCTGGGTGCCTCCTCTGGGCCTCAGTTTCCTCCTCCCTTAAAAGAGGGTGAATTAAAGTGCTCCCGAGAGTGCTGTGAAGACCACAGGGCTGTGAGTACCACCACTATCCTACATAATAAAAGGCTAATATGCAAATTGACCGAACGGCTGAGCAACCGGTCGCTATGATGTGCACTGACCACTAGGGGCAGATGCTCAACACAGGAGCTGCCCCCTGGTGGTCAGTGTGCTCTTACAGGGGGAGCGCTGCTCAGCCAGAAGCCGGGCTCATGGCTGGAGAGCGCAGCGGCAGTGGTGGGAGCCTCTTCTGCCTTCGTGGCAGTGCTAAGGACCCCTTGGGGGACATCCCCTGAGGGGTCCTGGACTGTGAGAGGGCAAAAAAACCCCCCCCCCCCCCCCGTGCACAAATTTTGTGTACTAGGCCTCTAGTCAATAATAACAGCAAACACTTTCACATACTAACTCAGTTTAGCCTTGCAATGATCCTACCATGCAGGCTCTATCACCTTCCACAAAGGAAAAGGGGGCACAGACAGGTTAAGGCACCTGCCTATGTGAAAGAGTAAGTAAACGAAGGAGTCAGATTTCAAACTCCCGCCACCACCACGGCACAGCACTGCCCCATTTCAACAAGAAAGCACTGGAAAAATAGAAGCTGCAGCATATCTGGTTTTGGCCCAGCCAAGAAGAGTCCAATTCCAGGTATTTCCCCCCAGGTCGTCAGGGGAGGACTGGCTGGCTCACGATCATTTCAGGCCTGCCTCCCAAGCCCCCAATGATGAGGCATCTCTCTCTCTCCGCGTCACTGTTCTCAGAGATTCACTGGAAATACTGGCAAATGGGTGCTTTGTAAACCGTCACCTTAAATGGACCTCGTGATCATCCCCTGGGTCCTGCCAGATGATTAGGACAACAGCTCATCCACACCATCCAATCCTGTCCTAGGCTGGGGAGGCGTTAGGTGTGCCTGCCCCCCCCCTCCCCCCGCCCTGCCGTAATGACACGCCCACTGGGAAAAAGGAGGAGGTCTGGCCTCTCCTGGTTCATCGTGTGACCCTGGACACACCCTCAGGCACTCTGGGCCTCAGTTTCCTCATTTATAAATGAGTCAGATGGACCAAATGACCTAGAGCAGTGGTTCTCAACCTTCCTAATGCTGCAACCCTTTAATACAGTTCCTCATGTTGTGGTGACCCCCAGTTTCATTGTTACAAATTGAACATAATTAAAGCATAGTGATTAATCACAAAAACAATATGTAATTATATATGTGTTTTCCGATGGTCTTAGGCGACCCCTGTGAAAGGGTCGTTCAACCCCCAAAGGGGTCGCGACCCACAGGTTGGCGACCCACAGGTTGAGAACTGCTGACATAGAGGGTTTCTCCCTTGATCCTCTGGGGTGATACTGCTTTCTCCCCAGGCTTTCCCTCACCAAAGGCTGACTGCAGAGGAAAGGTGGAAAATACCGCTCCTGCAGTCTTTCTCTTTCCCCAGGAGTCAGGAGTCCAAACCCGGTTAAGAGCTCCTGTGCTCTGGGCCGAGCACTTGCTACTGGGAGCAGCAGCAGAGGGGACCAAGGAATAGCTCGATAGCAAAACGTGCACCGGGGTGGGCTGGGGTTAAAAATGGACGCAGCCGCCTGTCCTGTCCGAGGCACATACTTGGCAAGGACGCATTCTAAATAAAACCCGATTAATTCCTAGCAGCTCTTGGCCGTCGGCAGCCTGGGACCATTGTGGAGCCAGCGCGCGGCCTGCGGTCCTCAGGGTGCCTGCGGGCACTGGTTTCAGGTAGGAGCACAGGAAGAGAAGAAAGCAGCAGGCGGGACCAGGAGGAAGGAGGCGGCTCCTGGGTGAGGAAACGGTGCTGACTGAACAGTGAGAAGCCAAAGGAGACACGGAACACACACTCATGCACACATTAAAAATACATGGGCACAGACCAGCAACGCCAATTTCATAAGAACCCGTAAATTTAAAAAAGACACATTAATAAGATATCTGGAATTTGCTTCAAAATAATCTGGGGGAGGTGGGAGAGAGTGGATGGGGGTTCAGGTGAAACAAGATTGGCCATGTGTAGGTAATTGTGCAGCCTGGGTGGTGTGTGCATGGAGAGTTGATATGATATTCTGTCTGTTTTGTATTTATTTGCAGTTTTTCATAATAAAACCTTTTTTAAAAAACACACATTAATTCCTGGCTGGCATGGCTCAGTGAGTGTCAACCTATGAACCAGGAGGTCATGGTTTGAATATGATATTCTGTCTGTTTTTGTATTTATTTGCAGTTTTTCATAATAAAACTTTTTTTTCAAAAAACACATTAATTCCTGGCTGGCATGGCTCAGTGAGTGTCAACCTATGAACCAGGAGGTCAGTGTTTGATTCCTGGTCAGGGCACATGCCCGGGTTGCGGGCTCCATCCCCAGTGTGGGGCATGCAGGAGGCAGCCGATCGATGATTCTCTCTCATCATTGATGTTTCTATCTCTCTCTCCCTCTCCCTTCCTCTCTGAAATCAATAAAATATATCTAAACAAACAAACAAACAAAAACCACATTAAAGTGGATGCCTGTGGGAATGAGGAGGGGCAAGAAAATGGGAATGGAGCATGAAGATAAAAGTGAACGAACAGAAAAAGTACAGTAGGACAACTGAAAGGGGTGGAAGGAGGGAGAGCTGATGGAGGACGAGGCCAGGGAACCGGAGGAGAGGAGAGCGAGTCTGTGGTGGGAAGGTTCTCCCCGTCCCTCTCCTGTGCCCCTTGATGAGCCCACCCCAGAACCAGAATTCCCGCTGGGTGAACCTCGGCAATAGTCCATTCACTCCTCGTTTACCAGTGAGGAAACCAAGGTGCCAAGAAGAGGGGCTTGTCCACAGCCACGCAGACCATGGTTGGACCAGTTAGCCCAACACCCAGCTCTAAGCCCTTTCTAAAACATGACGAAAAGAGAAAACAAGACCCATGGCTTTGGAGTCAGCCAGGCTGGACTCAAAGCCCACTTCTGACCCTGTGACCTTGGGCGAGTTGCTCAACCATCAGCTGCAGATGGGAATCACCTCTGGGAGCCGGGCAGTTGTGAGGATGATGACAGCACAGGCTGTGCCTGAGCGCTCAGGAGCTCCACACAGGTCAGCCCCTCCCTTCCCTCAGTAGGGGTCAAGGAGGCAGACAGGTAGACCAAGACCAAGGAAGCTTCTAGAGAAAGTGAAGCCACCGCCACAATGCTTAAAGCAAATAAACATGCTCAGCTCTGGGCTGAGTGAAGAGGAGGTGGCCTGGTGCTGGGACAGGCATCAGCAGGCCCCTCCCTGCGGGCTCTCACCTTTACCAGCTGGGAGAAGGTGCTCTCTGCCTCCTGCACCCGCTCTCGGTGGCCTTGTTGTCTTCGTTCCCAGTCAGCCTGCAGGCTCTCGGCCTCCGGCTGCTCTGGCTGCAAGTGCTCAGTCGCAGACACCAGGACCTTCTCATACTCCCGAGACCCACTGGGCTCCAGCCCTTTGACAGTGGTGACGGTTCTCTGGAATGAGTGTGGGCCTCGCGTGACCTCCTCTTGCCAGGAACCTTGTGCAGCATCTTGCAGGTACGAGACAATGGAGCCTTCCCCATCCCAGTCCTGCAGTCTGGGGTCCCGGAAGAGAGAAAGGACACCTGGTCACCCTTCAGTCTCTGCTCTTTGAGATACCCTCCCCCTCCAGAGCCCTGGCTCACCCAGGACACATCCTATACAGCCCACCTGAGGGACGGGAGAGTGTGAGCAAATCACATAGCTTCCTGCCCTGTCCAGACAGGTACAGGTGGGCCATCCATGCTGTCCAGGTGGGGAGGGCCACGGGTACCAGTGCCATTGGTGCCCTCCCTTTGAGTGGTCGGCCCTACTCTGGGCTCCCAAGGCACTAGGCTCACACCAAAGATCCAGTCATGGGGCCTCCACACCCATCACGTTTCCCACCTCCCCCCCAGCCCTCCAGGCCACCTGCACTCAACAGTCCTCATCTCTGTGCTCACCTGAAAGGCAGTCACTCCCTCCCCCTGGAAACACACTCTTCTGTGGCCTCTGGGACACCCCATTTGCCTGGTTTCCCCCCACTCTCTGGCCTCTCCTTTTCCGTGTCCTTTGTTAGTTCCTCCTAATTTCCCTGACTTCTGAACATTGGAGCACCCAGGGCCCAATTCTCAGACCTCAGCTCTATCTACACCCACTTCCTAAAGGAGCGAGTTCAGGCCATGGCTTTACACCCCATCCGCATGCTGCTCATGCCCAGGTGCCTGCCTCCAGCACCACCTCCTCGAACTGCAGGTGGAAAACGGCCTCCTTAACATCTCTCCTCCGGATTCCTAACAGGGACCTTGAGGACACGTCAGACCAGTTCCGCCCAGTCTTCCCCAGTCTGTGATAAAGGGCACCTTCATCCTTTCAGTTGTGAGGTCAAGGACACTGGTGAGCTCTTTGACTTCCGTTTCTCACACCCCACATCTTATTTGTAAGCAAACCCCTTTTGTCTCCAGCACCACCTCCTCGAACTGCAGGTGGGAAACGGCCTCCTCAACATCTCTCCTCCAGATTCCTAACAGGGACCTTGAGGACATGGTCAGACCAGTTCCGCCCAGTCTTCCCCAGTCTGTGGTAAAGGGCACCTTCATCCTTTCAGTTGTGAGGTCAAGGACACTGGTGAGCTCTTTGACTTCCGTTTCTCACACCCCATGTCTTATTTGTAAGCAAACCCCTTTTGGTTCAACTTTCAAAATATACGCTGAGCATAGCCACTTCTCACCACCACCACGGCTACCATGTTGGTCCACATCACCAACACTGGCCTCCTCGCTCATCTCCCTGTTTCTACCCTTGGCCATGTCAGGCTGCTGTCAAGGCATCTGTTAGGTCACCTCACTCCTCTGCTCAGAACCCTCCAATGGCTCCGCATTTCTCCCAGTAAATGCCCAAGTCTTTCTATGAGCCTCAGGGCCTGGCACATCTGGCCTCATTACCTCCCCGACCCCATCTTCCTTGATCTACTGTAGGCACAGTGACCTCCTCACTGTGCCTTAACTGTGCCAGGCATGCCCTACTTCAAGGCCTCTGCACTAGCTGGGCCTTCGGCTGGATGTCACCCCTAATTCCTTTAAGTCTTTATTCCAACGTCACTCTCCCAGGCTTCCCTGGCCACCTTATCTATAATTTCAGCCACCCCTTCTCCCCCTGCCCCCCACACCTCCTGCTCTCATTCTCTGCTTTATTTTTCTTTTTAGCACTTAATATCTAGCATTTCTCTTTTAGTTTTATTTACTTTATCTTGGTTACCATCAGTTTCTCCATTAGAATATAAACTTCTTACAGGTAGAGACTGTCTGTTTTGTTCAGTGCCGTATCCCCAGTACCTAGGCATTTTTTTTATAAATGCTTGGCACATAGTAGGCACTCAAGACATATTGCTGAGTGAGTGAACAAAATTCGTCCCCATCAGAGGGCTGAACAAGGTCCCAGAGCCACACTGTAACATCCTGAGGCCCAGCGTCCAGGCCTTCTGGTTCCTCATCTGGTGACCCCTCTGTGGCCACGGTGCAGAGGCCAGCACACAGCTAAGTGTTCAATCAATGCTGTTGGGTGAATGGCCATCAGGGTTGTTGGAAGATGGCCTCTCTCACAGGAAAGCCAGTATTTCACTTTGAACCCTCACAGGCTCAGTCTGTCCAATTCTCCCCCTCCCCCTACTCAAAGGATTAGTTTGGGAACGAAATAAATCCTTGCATCTTCTAAACAACCTTCCTCTCCCTCCTCCAATGGTATTTGGGCCACACTGAGTGGACCCTGGGGACTGGCCAGTCAGCTCCACATTTTGAGTGGAGCAGTGTGGATGGGAAGGGGACATGAGAACAGGTTTCCCACGGCCTGGCCGGGCCTGAGCTCCTTGGGTGGCCGCAGCCTTCTGGAACACATAAACTGTGTCCTTGCTTTAGGGGGAATTGAGGAAGCACAGTGACATGGAAGAAACAGCTGCGGTCGCTTGTTTCCTGTGCCAGCCGGTCCAGGAGGGCCAACGCGAGACCCGCCCCATGCCTGTCTCCTCTCTCCCCATCGCCGCAAGCCCCCTCGGCACTCGGAGCACCGGGAGTGTGGTGTCCACGGTGTGGCTGTGAGCTCTCTGTGTCTGAGGGCTCTCTGGGTCCCAGAGGTGCACAAGGCCCTTCTGCCCGAACTGCCACCGATGCTTCCCTGCTGCTGGCACAGCACCAGGCCTTCTAGTCACAGGGAGCTTGGTGAGGAGTCACCCACAAGAACGGCCGGCTCTGACAGCTGAAAGCTCTGTCCTGCCCTAGATAAACCCACCAGCCTCACTGTTTCAAAAAGGCAAAGGAGAAAGGGCACCATTATCAGCTCTGTCACACGCAAGCTGCGTGACCACACGAATGACTTCCCGGGCCCTGGGGCTTGTAGGTTTCTAAATATGGTCTTCAACGATAAGCACTCCACAGTGATAGGGGCCCAGGCACCCAGCCCCAGCTGCACTTAGAGACGTGGTTCCTCCAAGCCTAGAACCTCTCCCCTAAGTGTGCTCCCCCATCCCAACACCCTAAGCCTCTCTCCTGCGGGCCACAGCCAGGGGTGTCTTGGGGAGGAACTGGCCTTTGCAGACCACAGTTCCATTCTCACAGGACAGGGGTCAGACTGAGCTCTGGGCGGCTTTGGAGGCCAGCTGGTGATACTGAATGGATTTGTCCCAGGACGTTTAGAACACAGAGTCAGGGTGGGCAGCAGCACCCAAGCATTCAATGCCAGGCACAATGTCACCCGGAAACCCAGGACGAGGAAAGGCATCCCACCCCGGCAGCCCAGCCCTTACCTGTCCTGGCTTGTCTCCATCACCCGACTCACAGTGGGGGATTCTGTGATGCGGGCTTGCACCCTCTGCTGGCCTGAAACAAGAGACACTTCATTCTCTGAGTCCTGCCCTGCACCTGTCGAGTCCTCCTGCCTCTTATGACCTGGCAGCTTCTCTTCTGACCTCTGACCTTCCTCCTGGTCAAGCAAATCGATAAGGCCATTTGTGGCATCTGAATCCACTGTGTCATCCTCCACAAGGTCCAGAGAGCCCAGCGTGGGGCCCTGGGTTCCCTCGGAGAACGCCCCCTCCAGCTTCCACTCGTGGCCGGTGGCGTCAGAGTCCTCGGCCTTGCTGCACTCCAGAGAGGAGTCCTCAGCAGTGACCAGAGAGGGTGTGAGGCCCGCGGACCACACCTGCATGTCAGACATCTCCAGCATGGCGTCATGCTCCGTGGCCGCCAAGGGGATGGCGTCTATGACGGCCACCTCGTTCCAGTACTGGTCTGCACGCAGCGGAGAGGGAAGCGCGTAGTGCAGGGAGGCAGGGGACAGCAGCTCGTCCTGCAGCGAGGAGTAACCTGGATGGGCAGACAGAGGGCAACATGCTCCAGAAGCGATTTTTGTCACACACGCTCACGTGCAAGTCCACGCGCGCGCGCACACACACACACACACACGCACACACGGCCACGGCCACGGCCACAGAGAGGCATGCACATTCCGGGCGAGCGGCTTTCCAAGCTCAAACTCCGTTGCTCAGGGCTTGTGGCTGCTGCCCAGAGCACCTGGGCAGGAGAAACAAGGCTCTGGTTTGGGTGGGGGCAGCCAGGGAGAGGGGCAAAGAGGAGGGCGCCTTTGCTGGACGGCAAAGAGAACGGAATTCCTTTCCAGCTCAGAGCTAGATCAAGAAGCCTTGATCCAAAGGACTTGTGTTCCAATCTGTCTCCAATGGAGGAAAACCCCACTTCTCCATGGCTGGGCAGAAAGAAATGTTGTTCTTTCTTTGCTCAAAACGTCCCTTTAGCACAGTCCTTGGAGTATCTGTCAGGAATGTATCTTAAAGGGAGGGAGCAGCCCACCCAGGTCCAGGGTCAGAAACCGAGCTGCCTTGGAGGGGTTTAGTGGGCACACTGAACACCCACAGGCCTCGGTGCAGTGCTCAAATGGGAAATCATTTGGTTTGGGATGAAGTAACTTTTCCTCACATTGCCAAATGGTTCTGGCAACTTGAATAATCTCAAGAGACGCAAGGGAGGGCTCTAAGGGTTCAGAACAGGGTCCAGGAGGCACCAGGCAGGTCGGCTGCCAGCTCAGTCCTCTGCCCTGAGCTCCTTGCCGGCAGGCCCTGAGTTGTGTTCCAGCTCCTGGTCAGCAGTGAGCAGGTGGGACCGGAGCCAGCTGGCTCAGGACACTGTGCACGGTACCCTGGTCAGCACAGCCTGTTCTTAACGTCTGTTCCTTCCTGACTGGCTCGGCCAGGAGTCCCTGCTAGTTTTCTGATTGGCTTTGGTATTGGTTCCCTGATGTTCAGAAGTGACTAGGAGCCCAAGTGAGTGGCACGTGTAAATGTGTGAGAACCTGTGAGCCAGCTGAATGAGCACTGTCCTGTCAGGCGGCTCCTCTAGCCAGGAATGGGGAGTCCCTGTGAAAAGGGGACAGAGGGCCTCCGACTCCCCTTCAGAGCAGGTGCCAATCTGTGGGTGGGAGAAGGAGCTAGAAGATTCTCCATTTGGCTCAGCTTGTCTGGGGAACTAGGGAGTGTACCTACAGCTTCTGAAGACCCAACAGAGCCAAAGGGAGGACCTGGGTATGGTGGCGCTGCCCCCTGCAGCGTACCTTGCTAGATACTCTAAGCTGGTGTCCAGGCTCTTCATTCTGCCGTTCATCCCGCACCCCCCCATCCCCCACATCAGGCTCTTTCCTGGGCTGGGCCTTTCTTTAGCCAAATGGGCCCTCCTGATTCCCAGCTCTGGGCCTCAGCTGCTCCCAGCCCTTCTCTCCTTCTGACAATACCATCTCCAGCTACCCTCATTCACTTGTTCAACAAAACATATTAATTAAGGTCCAATTACAAGCCTTGTACCAGGCTAAAGGGTTGGGGATTGCAAACACACAGCACACACAAACAAGGTTCTCTTTGTCCTCTTTTTCATGATGTTTTCTCAACGACTTCCATTCACGTTGATTTCCCCCTCTTTGAACCCAGCCATGTTCCCCACTCAGCTGCTCATGAACTGTGCACTCTTTGAGGGCAGGGATGGTGTCTACCTTTTCCTCCCATGTGCCTAGACCGGATTGGGAATTCATTGGCTCCAAAGACTCTCTGGGTGTGTGAGGGAGACACCAGAACAGGAACAGGTGACCTTGTCCATATTCTAGCATTTACATGTCTCAATGAGCCCAGAACCATGCTATGTGATTGACACACATCTTCTCTTAAACTTCCCAGGAGAGTTTTCTTCCTGACTGATCACTACAAGTCTGTGTGGTTCCAGGTCTCAACATTAGGAGGAGGAGAAAGAGACCATGAGGTGGTGGGGTGGCCGGTGGGTAGGGTTATGCAGTGGCAGAGACTAAGGGACTCCCCTTTCAGATCTGACCAAAGTAGGAACAGAGATGTGGGAGAGTAAGAGAAATGGGTGGGTCAAATATTACCACAATATGAACTGCAAGTCATTGTATGTGAATCTGTGACCTAAGGAATTGGGAAGCCAGGGGCAATGGCCTTCAAACCCTCCAAAGAAATCTCTCCAGATATATGCAAGCAGGGCACTTTAGATTCAGGTAATTACTTTTCTTCTTGTTATTTTGAAAGCGTTATTATATTCTATTACTACTGGAGCACCTATTTTGTATAAAAGATATCTAACATGTTATTTTAAATTATTATTACAACAACCCTACAAGGAAAGTAATATTATTCCTACTTTATACATTAGGAAACTAGAGGTGCAGCGACTTGCTTAAGGCACAGTTGGTCAGAGTGGTCTTTTCACTAGAATCTGCCATTAATATATATATATATATTTTTAAATGCTTACCCGAGGATATTTTTTTCATTGATTTTTAAAGAAAGTGAAAGGGAGGGAGGAGGGGGGTAGTTAGAGACAGAGAAAAACATCCATAGGAAAGGGACACTTTGACTGGTTCCCTCCTGCACAAGTTGAGGCCAGGAATAGAATCTGCAACCAAGGTACATGCCCTTGACCAGGAATCAAACCCATGACCCTTTGGTCTGGGGGCCAATTCTCTAACCACTGAGCAACCAGCCAGGGCCCATTAATATCTTTTAAAGATATCTTTATTGAGGAACAGTTGAAATACAATAAATGCACATACAGGGTAGGGCAAAGGTAGGCTTACAGTTGTTTGTATGGAGGAAGACATGCAGGTTATGATTATTACAACAGCTTTATGAACTCTGTATTTTGCATATTAACAACTGTAAACCTCCTTTTGCTCCACCTTGTGTTTATTTACTTATTTATTGAATGATTTCAGAGAGGAAGGGAGAGGGAGAGAAAGATAGAAACATCAATGATGAGAATCACTGATTGGCTGCCTCCTGCATGACCCCCACTGGGCACTGAGCCTGCAACCTGGGCATGTTCCCTGACTGGGAATCGAACCATGACCTCTTGGTTCATAGGTCGACGCTCAACCACTGAGCCACGCCGGCCAGGCCCCCCCTCCCTGTATTTAAAGTAGATAATTTGATAGGCTCTGACATAGGTATACACCCCTGAAACCATCATGCAGAGGGGAACACCCATCATTCCTGAAAGGTTTCCTCATGCTTCGTAATCTTTTCTTTCACCACTCCATTTCCAGGTAACTACTGATCTGCTTCCTGTTACTATAGTTTGGATTCCTTGAATTTTATATAAATGGAATTATACAGTGTGCACTCTTTTTTGTCTGGCTTTTCACTCAACTTAATAGTTGGGTATAATCCATATTGTTACAGGAATCGATGATTTTTGCATTTTTATTGCTAAGCTGTATTCCATTGGATGGATAGACTACAGTTTGCTAATGGACATTTGGGGTTTCCAACATGGGGCTATTACAAATAAAGCTGCTTGCCTGTGTGGACATACACTGTCTTTACTTTGTGGAAATCCTTAGGGGTGGAATGGCTGGGTCATATGGCATATGTTTAACTTTTCAAGAAACAACCGAAGTGTTTTCCAAAGTGGCTGTCCCATTTTACATTCCCACCAGCAGTGTATGAAAGTTTCAGTTCCTCCACATCCTTGTCAACATTTGGTATGGTCAGTCTTTTTCATTTTATTCTTATGGGTAGTGGTATCTCCTGGTAATTTTAATTTGTATCTCCCTAATGTTGAGAATCTTTCCATGCACTTATTTGCCATCTGAACATTTTATGGATTAAGTATCTGTCCATTCTAAAATTTGGGTTGTTTGTTTTCTTATTGTGAGTTCTGAGAGTTCTTTATATATTCTGGATACAAGACCTATATCAGATTTGCCAATATTTTCTCCCAATCTGTGCCTGGTCTTTTCATTTTCTTCACAGGGTACATTGCAGAGAAGAAGTTTTGATGAAGTTCAAATGATCAATTTGTTCTTCTATGGATTGTGCTTTCGGTGTTCTATCTAAGAAATCATTGTCTTACCCAAGGTCATTAAGGTTTTCTTTTATGTTTTCATCTAGAAGTTTTATAGTTTTGTTTCTATAAATTTTTATATAGGTTTTAGACTTAATTTATAATCCATTTCAAGTTATTTTTTTGTACATGGTGCAAAGTATAAATCCAAGTTCATTTTTGCATGTGGATATCCAATTGGTCCAGTACCACTTGTTGCAAACAGTTTCCTTTCTCTATTGAATTGCTTTTGCACCTTTGTAAAAATCAGTCGTTCATACACATGTGGTTCTGTTTCTGGATTCTATTCTGTTCCACTGATTATCTTTTTTTCTTTTTTTGACAGATCCTGCCGCAGGTTTATTTGTACAAACAGCACAGGAGGACACCAGCGCCATGCAGACAGCAGCCTAGGGGTTCCACCAGTCCTTCCGTCCTCACGTCCGCAGACGGAGGCCTCTACTGTGGAGCCTTCGTGGGGGTCTGGGCACCTTTGGGAGCGGGAGCCTGGGCACTTTTGGGGGCAGGAGCCTGAGCCCCTTTGAGAGCCTGAGCTGCAGCCGCACCTGCAGCCTGGGGCTTGGTTTCTGCCTTGGCCTTGGTCTTTGGCTGGCAGAGCCTGAGCCCCTTGGCAATGTGGGCACGAGCACGTTTCCCAAGCTTGGGGTGAGCGATGTAGGCAAGTTGACTGAGTTTGCGGCTGCCGCCCTTTGGGATATTGGGCCTGGGCTCCTTGGGCTTGACCAGGGCCTTGATGGCCTCAGCGTGAGCGCTTATGGCCTTGGCGTTGGCTTGTATCTTCTTCAGGCCCTTCTTGTTTTGCTTCTTGGCAAAGCACATGTTCCTTAGGAACTTGGGGTCTACCCCCTTAAGAGATTCATATCTTTGTGATCTGGGTTTCTTGATGCCGTTTCTGTGCCATTTTCGGGACTGGTTGTGCGTGGTGTGGTTCTTGGACTTGGCCATCTCTGCACAGAAGCCCGCGACTCGCGAAGCACCAGGGACCAGAAGAGAAAATGATTATTTATCTTTATGACAATACCACCCTGTACTGATTACCATAGCGTTGTAATAAATCTTGAAGTCAGGTAATATGAGTTCAAATTTGTTCATTCCTCCCACTCTGTTCATTCTTCAGGTCTTTTCATGTGAATTTTAGAACTACTTTGTCAATTTCTGGGGGGAAAAGCATATTGGGATCTTGACTGAGATTGCACCAAATACATAGATCATTTTGAGAGAATTGACAATATCAAGTCTACTGGTCCATCATCAAGGTGTACCTCTACCTTTATTTAAGCCTTCTTCAATTCCTCTCAGAAATGTTTTGTAGTTTTCAATGTGTAAGTCTTTCACATCTTTCATCAGATATATCTCCAAGTATTTCAATTTTTTCAATGCTATTGTAAATAGTATTCTTTTATAATTGTTTATTGCTAGTATATAAATTCAACTGATTTTATATCTTGAAATTGTATCTTGCAAGCGTATTGAACTTATTTATCAATCACTTCTTGTAGATTCCACTAGATTTTTTTATACATGTGATCTTGTTGTCTGAGTAAATGGTTTACTTCTTCCTTTCCAATGTGGTTGCCATTTATTTCTCTTACTTGCCCTATTGTACTGGCTAGCACCCCTAATAAATGTTGAACAGAAGCAGTAAGAGTACATATCATTGTCTTGTAACTGAACTTAGAGTCAAAGCATTTATCATAAAGTGTAAGGTTAGCTTTAGGTTTTTTTGTAGATGCCCTTCATCAGGTTGAATGCATTCTTTTCTATTCCTACTTTCCCGAGAGGTTTTTTGGTTTTTAATCAGGAATGGATGTTGGATTTGTCAAATTCTTGTTCTATATCTATTATGATGATCATATGGTTGTTGTTTTATTACTTTGTTAATATGATGAATTATATTGATTACATGATCTCTATTCTTTTAAATTTGTTAAGGTGTGTTGTATGGCCCAGAAGGCAGTTTTCTTGGCAAATGTTCCATGTGAGCTTGAGAAGAATGTATATTGTGCTATGGTTGGGTTGTTTCGTCTTCTAGGAGAAATTGACCTCTTTATTGTTATGTAACACTCTTCTTTATCCCTAACTTTACTTGTTTTGAAGTCTGCTCTGTCTGAAATTAATATAACCATTCCTGCTTTCTTTTGTGTTTTTTGATCCACTCTGACAATCTCTATCTTTTAATTGATGCATTTAGACCATTGACACTCAAATGATCATCTATATATTTGGGTTAATATCTACCATATTTATTATTGTTTTCTATTTGTTGTCCTCGTTCTTTGTTCCTATTTTTGTCTTCCACTCTTTTTTTTGACTTTTGTGATTTTGAGTATTTTATATGAATCAATTTCTTCCCTTTCCTAGAATATTGGTTATGCTTTTTAAAAAAACTTGTTTTAAACAATTGCCTTAGAGTTTGCAATATACATTTCCAAGTAATACAAGTCTACTTTCAAATAACACCATACCACTTCATGGGCAATGTGAATACCTTATAATAACATAATAATCTTATTTCTTCCCTCCTGTTCCTTCTATCATAGATGTCTGCTGTCATTCATCATTCATTTTGCTTATATATAAGCATAAATAAATACATTGCTGCTATTATTTTGAACAAGCTTATCCTATAGATCAACTAAAATAAGAAAAATAAAAGTTTTTATTTTATCTTTACTTAATCCTTCTTTGATGTTCTTCCTTACTCTATGTAGATTTGAGTTTCTGATCTGTATTATTTTCTTTCTCTCCAAAGAACTTATTTTAATATTTTTTTTTTGCAAGACAAGCCTGCTGGCAACATATTCCCTCAATTTTTGTTTGTATTAGTATTTACTTCTTCACTTTTGAAGGATAATTTTTCAGGATACAGGATTCTAGATTGCTGTATTTTTTTTCCTCTTAACACTTTAAATATTTCACTCCACTTTCTCCTTGTTTTCAGGGCTTCTGAAGAGACATCTAATTAGAAAATAATGTATTTATCCTGTCTGTTATCCTTTTCCTTTGGCCTGAAGGGCTTTTGTTTTCCCCTTTAACATTGCTTGTAGCATGGCTCTCCTGATGAATTCTTTCAGCTTTTGTAAGTCTGGAAAAATTTCTTTTGCCTTCAGTTTTAGAAGTTATTTTTGTTAGGTACAAAATTCTAGGTTACCTTAGAGATGTTCTTTAAAAATGTTGCTCCACTGTCTTCTCATTTATTTCCAACGAGAAACCTGATATTCTTTGTTCATTTTTACATACTGTGGTTTTTGTTTTTGTTTTTTGGCTGCTTTTAAGACTTTATAACTGGTTTTGACCAATTTGTCTAAAATATGCCTTGGCATAGTTGCTTTCATGTTTCTTGTGCATGTGGTTCATTGAATTCCTTGGATCTGTGTATTTATAGCTTTCATCAAATTTGGAAAAATTTCAGCCATTATTTCTTGAAATACTTTTTCACTCAGTTCTCTGTTGGGAATTCTAATTTCACAAATATAAGGTCACTTGAAATTGTCACATAGCTCACTGATTTTTTAAAATTTTCTTTTCTTTCTGTGTTCCATTTTGGAGAGTTTCTATTACTATGTAGTCAAATCCAGTAATCTTTTCTTCTGTAATGTCTAATCCTACCCGGTGTATTTTTAATCCTACACATTATAGTTTTATCTCTAGAAGATTGGTTAGGATCATTTAAAAATATCTTCTATGTCTCTACTTGATGTTTTGAATCTTAAAATACAGTTATAATAACTACTTGCCCAATCTTGTCTGCTAATTCTGACATCTGTGTCAGTTTTGGGTCAGTTTCAATTGATTGATTTTTTTCCCTCCTCATTATGAGTCATGCTTTCTTGCCTCTTTGTATGTCTGATAATCTTTAATTGAATGTCAGACATTATGAATTTTTTCTGTTTGGTGCTGGATATTTCCATATTCTCATAAATATTCCCAAGCTTTGTTTTTTGTGCAGTTAGATTACTTGGAAATAGTTTGATCCTTTTTAATTTTACTTATAAGATTGATTAGGCAGGGGTGGAGCACTGCTATTCTCCATTTCTGAGACAGAACCTTTCTTTGTTCCCTATGCAATGCCTGTGAGAGATCCGTCTGCCTGTTGGGTACAGCTGATTATACTCAACCAAAACTTCCAGAGGCAATCTCTTCAGATCTCCAGAGTTCTCTGTGCAGCTTTCTCTTCCCTGGTAATCTATCTTGGGACCTCTAGCTGCCTTAGTCTCCCTGGACTCTCAGCAACCTCTCCTTAATCCAGGAAGTCCTCTTGGATTTCTCTTCCCTATGCCATGACCTAGAAACTAGCAATAGGTTTCACTTTGTGTATTTCCAGGTCTCATGGATCACTGCCCTTTATTGCCAGATGTCCAATGTCTTGAAAACGTTTACTTCATATATTTTGTCCATTCGGGGGCTGTTTTAAACAGGAGGGTATATTCAGTCCCAGTTACCTCCTCTTGGCCAGATGTGAAATGCATCTTAAACAGCCCCTCAGATATGGCCAGATGAACATTCTGTCATTCCTGGGAATCTCAGTAAGTCTTGATGAAGACTGGGAGATGGTAGCTCTACTGGCCACAGAATACCTAAAGCTCATTCCTGGGTATTCTTTGCGACTTTTCCACCTTAAAACTCCATGGTGTTCACTTAAATGAAAATGTCTGTAAAGAGAACTAATTCATGCACACCCTCTCACGTCTTGTGTTTATCCTGGAGCCCTTCCCCTGGTAAAAGCATTTAGATGATACACCTCACTGCTCCCTTTCAGTCTTCAGAGGACCCCACTGGTCCACCCACAGCCCCACAAGCCTGGATCTGAGGCTGTAGGTGGCCATACTCAGTGCTGGTGGGGATTACTACTAAGTCAGAGCAATGTTCTTTAAGGCCTGAGCACAGCCTCATAAGGAACATCTCACAGATGGCACCCAGACCATAATAAGGTCTGCTGAGTTCCCTGGGCTGCATTTCAGATGTGTCTGTCTCTCTAGGAGTCTCATGCGACGCTGCCATACCTTAGTCACCAGCACATCCTTCAGTCTAGAGGCCTCTCCTTTGGGTTGCTTGTTGGGGGAACCAGGTAAAAGGCAACCATACAGACTGCTTTTGGACAGAGGACAGTCTAGGGGTCCCTCCCCAGGTCTCTCCTCATCTCAGCTTATCATGTGTGTCTCTGCTTATCTGGATGTAATGATTATCCTGTTAATGTCAGTAGCAAGCTAGACGAGGAGTGGACAGACACCCTGACCTCAGGAGCCAAATTCAGCAGTTGTATTTTTTAAAAGTTGATAGAAATAAAACACATTTGATTTCTAAGAAGACATTCATATATGTTCAATTTATCAAACCAAATGGAGCTGACAAGTGTGGGTGTGAGGTGTCCATTTTTTCCTTTCATAGAAGAAATCTGTTTTATTTTTAGGAACATGCTATTTTCCCCTGCTCTTAGGTAATCTTTGTCTACACATTTATTACCCAAGTGCCTGGGTTGCCCCCCTCTTGTGTAGGGGAAGCAAGTGGCCTTTTGGCTTCAGCCCCATTCTGCTTCGGCCAGTCCAGGTACAGATGGCAAGAGGAGCCAGGAAGGCAGGAAAACAGACCTCAGGTTCCTATTCCCCTGACACCAGGGAGCAACCAATCCCTGCCCTTAGTCCCCATGGCTTCATAAGGAGACTCAGAGAAGCAGAGAAACGAGGTCAAGCACAAAGGAGGCAAGGTTTGACCGTGAGCATCTGTGCAGAGGGCTGGGCTGGCCTCAGGACAAGCCATCACTGCTCCTGCCCAGGAGAAAGCCAGAGCAACTGCAGGAGGCTGCTGTCTCCCAACCTTCTACCTCTGACCCTCCTGCTCCTTCTTTCCAAGCCAGAAGGGCACCCAGATGTGAGGTGGTCTTCCTGGGACAGGGAAGAAGGTAGGAAAAACAAACAAAAGCCAATGCCGGTGCCCAGAGAGGCAGAAGGGACCATGCTGGGAGTCAGTTTCTGAGTGTCTGCTCAGGCCCTGGCAGGGGTGTGCACGCAGGGCACACAGCCTGTGCCTGTCAGGAGACCTGCTGGAGGAGGGGCTTCAGCAGGGGTGATGAGTTTGAACAGAAAAGCCAGGAAGCACAGAAACATTCAATTTGTCGCTGTCTACAATCAACAAAGCAGTGAGAGGGGAGGGGTGATGAGTTTGGACAGAAAAGCCAGGAAGCACAGAAACATTTGTCGCTGTCTACAATCAACAAAGCAGTGAGAGGGGTCCTTTAAAAACTTAAGTTAGGCTCTGGCTGGTGTGCTTAGTGGTTAGAGTGTCGGCCGGTGCACGGAAGGGTCTCAGGTTCTGTTCCCACTCAAGGGCATGTACCTGGGTTGGAGGAATGATCCCTGGCCCTCAGGGCGTGTGCAGGAGGCAACTAATCGCTGTGTCTCTCCCACATTGATGTTTCTCTCTCTCCCCTCTCCTTTCCTCCCTTCCACTCTCTCTAAAAATCAAAACATCCTTGGGTTAGGATTAACAAAAAGCAAACAAACAAACAAACAAACAAAAAACCCCAACAACTTAAGTTATATTATGTTACTCTTTTGCTCCAAAGCCTCCCACAGCCCTCCACCTCACTCCAAGTAAAACCCAATATCCCGAGGATAGTCTGTAAGAGCTGGCCCCCATGGCCCCCTGGTCTCTGCTCCCTCCTTCCTTCCTCCCTCCCTCTGCCCAGCCCCTGTGGCCCCTCACTGCTCTATGAGCACACCAGCCTCCCACTCAGGGCCACTGAATGTGTGCGTGTCTGGATGTCCTCTCCCCATGTTCCCATGGCTCATTCCCTCGTCTCCTAGGCTCTGTTCAAATGCTTCCCACTCCCACCATTCATCTACCCCCCCAACCCCAGCACTCCCACCCGCCTTCCTAGGGCCCATTTTATTCCACACCACTTATTGTAACCTGTTAGCACATTATATAATCCACTTACATATTAGGTTCCTATTGGACTCTCCAAACAGAAGGTAAGCTCCATGAAGGCAGAATTTGGGTTGTTTATTGTGGAGGGGGAGGCTGTTTGAGAACTGATTTATCTTCCCTGCCTAGAAGAGCACCTGGCACGCAAAAATATTTGCCAGATGAGCTGGCCAACTGAAACAGAGACCTTTCCATGGGGCACAGAGAGACCCAGCCCCACACAGGGACTTAGAGCTCTGTTTAGGCGTTTGAGCCTCTAGGACAGACAGGGGCTGGGAGGCCTATAGCCAATGGCCAACGTGAGGCGCTCATAAATGTCTGGGCAGTAACTCTTTAAAAAAATTTTTATTGTGGTAAGAACACTTAACATGGGACCTACCCTCTTAACAGATTTTTAATTGTTGTAATTCCTTTTTTTAAAGTAATTCGATGGGCCCATTGTCCTGTAGGCACATAATTGGGGCACAAGAAAACAAAAACTTGCTGATCTGACTTCACTAAAAAGCCTGGGATGTTAAGAAACCCAACCAAGTGATGGGTTATCACACAGACAAGAAGGGCGTTGTCAGCTGGGTTTCCCGGAGTTGGCAGCATTCCCGCACCGCCCTCGCTCTTTCCTGTGTGGAAGCCAGTGGGTCTACCTAGCAGCCCCGCCCCGCTCCAGCCAGGTCCCCGAGGCACGAGGTGGACCACTGTCTTAGAGCCCTTTACGCAGGACGTGAGGAGTGAGCAGTGCACAGCTTGCAGCCTCCACCTGGAGCCAGAGACAAGCCCTGCGCACGCACACACATGCCCTGGCACGCAGCTGTGAGACGCGGGGCGGGGGAGGGCCAGGAGTCCCCCATGACATGCATGTGCGGAGGCTGACGGCCCCGAACACCTGGCCGAGGCGGAGACAGTGGAGACAGGCGGTGGGAGAGAATGAGGTCCAATGAGGTCAGAGGCAGAAGAGAGAGGCGACAGGACATGATCAATAGACGATGAACCCTGCACCCAGGGCCGCTAGATGGCATGTTCCGGGAGACACAGGACATGGAGAGAGAAAGATGTGAGGAGCTCGGCCTGAGCCAGCTCCACCTGGCAGGAGGCCCTGTGCCCAGACCAGCCTAGAACTTACCCACTCAGGACCATGCCCAGCGCCACAGGTGCCCGCACAGGAGCACACGTGTGAATGGCTGGGGACTAGCATTAAACTAGGAGCTTGGGGAGCAGAAACAGCGCAATGCAGCTGTCCAGGGTGATAGTAGGCACCAGAGGACGATAGTTCACAAAATTAAACATTGTTTTCCAGGGTCTGTAAGGAATCTGAGGGATCTAACCCAATTGCTGATTTTAAAGAAGAGACGATGACAGCCGCACCTGGAGTCAGGAGGGGAGTGGGACTAGAACCCAGCCCCCTGCTCCCACCACAGAGCAGGTCTCTGCTCTGCCTCTGTGCCCACGGCTAGAGGAGGGCAGCTGAAGGGCCGGGAGTGGGAGTCTCTGGCCCGCTCCTTCATGCGCTGGCTCCTTCCACGGCTGCTGAAAGGAAAGTGGTCCTCAAGAGACAGCAGTGGGAGTGCTGAGGGCAAAGGTCACCCCCCCAGGGGCCTGGTCACATTGGGGGCTCCTGTGCATGCTGAACCACATCACAAAGAGTGAGGGGAATAGACGGGGTGAGGAAAAAGGGAGAGAGAGAAAAGGAGACATTGGACTCAAAGAAAAGTAACCTGCTTAGCCTCACAGGGGGGGCTGCAATAAATAGGACTTTTAAAGTAGCACCCAACTAATCCACATCAGAGCCTGGGCCAGCAGCTCCATGCCCTTTGCTCCTCAGCTACTGACTGTTTTACACATGGGGACACGGATGCCCAGAGAGCGCCCGGGCCTGGTGCAGAGCTGCACAGAGGACGTGCGACCTGTAGGGGCAGGAGTCTAGCAGCTGCCCCAAACTCTTCCACTAGGACACCAGGTCCCCCTGGCAGCCTGCTGCTGGGGTAGTGTGGCCTGTCTCTCTTGCTCACCTTTTCCTCACCACCCTGGGGAGGGAGTTGTGGAGACAGACCTCCCACCCACGGGAGAGATGGTTTCATGAAGAGTCTCTGGCTGGAGGCTGGGAGGCCGGCTTGGCCCAGCCCCACCTCCTCACAGGGGACACTCACCATTCATCTGGGAGGGCGAGGAGGAGTAGTCCCGCTCCGTGTGCCGCCGGTCCGGTTTCAGATTGCGGCTTTGTCTGCCAGAGCCTTCCAACATGTTCACGATCTCGCTCCGGTCAATGTTCCGCAGGGCGGCGTACAGGTTCTCCACTGTCGGGGAGAAGGAAAGAAGGGCTTGCGAGGGAATTCTGATGGGTGCAGGGCAGTGCAGAATGCCTTGGGGCTCTGAACACCGGGAGAGGGAAACGGGAGATGGGGGGAGGTGGTTTATTTTTTCAGAATGTGGAGGCATTCCTCTTTGGTCAGAATCAAAGCCAACTGCCTCTGTGGAGAAGATGTCGTTATCCTTTAATAGATCTAGTCCAGTCCCTAATAGTGGCCAATTTCAAAGCCTGGAAAGACTACTGTCATTTAAGAAGAAAACTACAAGAGAAGGAGCGTGAGAATAGTTAAAATGCTTGGTCCTGAGGATTCGCTGAGAATGCTGTATCTCAGGGCCAGTGGACTTGAGATGCAAATGGAAACACTCCATTTCCTCTTAGTGGTTTTGACTACGGGAATTTGGTTGAGGAGGAGCTGAAAAGAGTGAGACAAATCTTCCCCCAGGTTGGAGGAAAAGAGGCTTCTGGGAGGAGGAGGAGGACAGGCTTCGCTCACCCGTGCTCTGTCCCCAGAGGACGGTCCTCATTTGTTTGAGAAATTCAACAGGAAGTCACATACCCTACACGTGTGCTGCTACCTAGGGGTCCTGGTGCAACTGTCATTGACTGTGAGGACGGGGCAAGCTGGAGGCCAAGGTTCTCTGGTTTCCTCTTCTGGCGGATTGCCCAGAAGACCCAGTGAGCCTGAGAGGTGTGTGTGTGAGAGGGACAGAGTGCAAAACAGACCGGATCCGAATGCTAACATGAAACATGGATTCTGAAAGCAGAACTACTGTGGAGAAGACTAGGTCCTGGCACAGGCTTTGGAAAGAGAGGCGTCCTCAGCTTAATGGTACTGACTCTTGGCGTTTGTGCCTTCACGGATGACCCAGAGGTTCAACAAGGCTGCGCTCTGCTCCAACAGCGAGTTGGGGTTTTCTACGCGGATCCTGTTGATGTCTTCCACGCTGAACTGCAGCTCCCGGGCCAGCTCTGCAAGCAAAGAACAAGACCCGGTGTGAGCCAAGCTAGAGCTGGGCTCCAGCGCCCATGCACCTTTGGATTGGATAGTCCTTCTTACTGAGAAATACCAAGTGAAACCTAAGATGACCAGGCAGCCTCTTAGAAAGGTTAGCAACTTATCCAAGGTCACAGAAGCTGGTGCAGAGCCAGGAGTGGGGCCGAGCCTGCGGACGCCCACTCCAGGGCTGTCTGTATGGCACCAGGAGGCCACTCACATTCCACCAGGAAGCAATTAGAATGGCAATGCATTCCTGTAGTTACATTTCTTCAGGGAAAGGCATTATTTACATTTTAAATGAAAATACAAGTTCCCCTCTAAAAGCCAGGCAATAACACAGAATGTTCGCCTATTTTCCTTCCCATTATCTTTATTGTTATGTCTCACAGGTGCTTTAGAAGGGAGAGCAGCATCAGAGTCTAATTTCAAGGATGAGAAAGACCAGAGGGAAAGTTACAGTGAGAATCAGAAGGTGCCTGTAACACACACACACCTTTTCAGAATCAGCAGTAGACATTCTTTTTTTTTTTTTTGGCTTAAAGAATGAAGTCTCTGAATTCCTGTTGTGAACATTGGTCACACTGCCCTTCAGCAAGTTCTTGCTTAGGTTTCTGAGTTTGTCTGAAGCCCTCCTGCAGGGGGACTAAGGAGGCCTATTCATATAAAATCTCACCAAAAGACGGGGGAGAATTCAGTTATAGGGCCTATGACTGTGTAAAGCACGTTTCGAGCTTTCACTTTATTTTGCCCACTCTTCACTTCCAATGTGACCCACCCTTATTGTTGACAAGACATGGGGTAGATTTCAGCGACTGCCGGAGATTGTAAATGAAAAATGTTGAGATTTAGCCTTTAATTCCCCCTTTCCCTCAGCAACACCAGCCTGTGAGGAAAGGCAATGAGAAGTGTGTAGGGGGAGGTGGACAGGCCGCCAGGTGACCTATCTTTTGCTCGAGTGTTTGTTATTTGTTTGCTGGGTTTTCTGGGCTCCGTCCCTAACTAGCTACATATTTAAAGTCACTCTATTTAGTGGGATCTCCATTTTCCCATCTGTAAAATGAGGTGAACTAGATCAATTCTAAGGCCTCTTGTAATGTCAAACGTTGATTCTTTCTTACAGAGGGAATCCAGATAGAAATGGGAGAGAGAGAGAGGGAGCACCTGCCTTTCTATTGGCCCCAAAGGTGTTGCTTGGGCAACAGACCTACCTAAGACAATCACAACACAATGGATGGTAAAAAGAGGTTTAGAAATGCTTTCGTCAGGTGCTCATTAGGGGGAGGTGTACACAGGCAAAGTGCTTTTTCTACCTCAAACTCCGTGGCTCACCTGCCCAGCTGAGACCCAGGTGTTCGGATATAATGGCCATCTTCATGTCTGCTCGGTCTGTCCCACTGAGAAAACCTGGGAAGAAGCATGGGATTTCATTGAGTAGCCTCGGTGGGACACAGAATCGACAGGGGTGAGTCAATGACCTCAGGTGGGTGCCCATGTCAGGGGTGAACCTCAGTGTGCACCAGGTTAATTGAGAACCCTGGAAGGGTCAGGAGGAGACCCAAGCCAAAGGCTCCACCTGCTGTGTTTATAACATATCAACCTGACACCTGCTGCGTCAGTCATATCAACAGGGAGCTGCTGTGAGGGTGAGAGGAGTGGGCTCACTCACAACCTCCTTGGAAAAGGTAGCGGGCACATAGCATGCCAGGGAGGTGTATACCCAGTGTGGATTCGCTGAGAACGCTGTATCTCAGGGCCAGCGGTGTCAGAGTCCGTCTCCTGTCATCGGCTCCGCCCCCCTGCAGAAGGACGACAAGGAAAGGGTGCTGTGGGTTTCAGGCTCTCCCCTTTCTTGGAGAAAGGGATTCAAGCCTATAAGCTGTGGGGTAGAGAACAGTAAGACTCCAACTTCTTTGGAGCCTGAACACAAAGAGTAGAAGTGTGGGGGTGAGAGGGTGTTGCTAATCTGCACATAATTTAATAATGATGATAGTAATCTATAATAATAAAAGCATAATATGCTAATTAGACTAGACGTCCTTCTGGACAAAGCCGGGGCTGTGAGGGAAGCCCGGGTTCCGGGTGCCAGAGGGAAGCCAGTGCCAGTAGCCGGGGAAAGAAAGGCCTACTCTTGCACAAATTTTGTGCATTGAGCCTCTAGTGATAATAATATTAATAATAGTAATAATGCCTGGCTGACGTGGCTCAGTGATTGAGCATCGACCCAGGAACCAAGAGGTCACCAGTTTGATTCCCTGTCAGGGCACAGGCCTGGGTTGTGGGCTCGATTCCCAGTAGGGGACGTGCAGGAGGCAGCTGATCAATAAAGTTTCTCATTGATGTTTCTACCTCTCTTTCCCTCTCCCTTCCTTTCTCTTTAAAAATTCAATAAAAAATATATATTTAAAAAAATAATAGCAATAATTACAAACCCGCGAGGCCCTTATCATGTTCCAGGCCCTGTGTAATCCTCACAATGACCATGTCATCGATGAGGAAACTGAGGCACAGACAGGCTGTATAACTTGTGCAAGCTCACTCAGCTAATAAATGGTGAAGCTGGGGTTTGAACTAAACAAAGAGAGGATTTCTGGATTCCTTTCTGCTCAAAAGACCCACTTGTGACACTGGTCCGAGGCCTAACTTTTATTGTGGTAAGAACACTTAACATGGGACCTACCCTCTTAACAGATTTTTAATTGTTGTAATTCCTTTTTTTAAAGTAATTCGATGGGCCCATTGTCCTGTAGGCACATAATTGGGGCACAAGAAAACAAAAACTTGCTGATCTGACTTCACTAAAAAGCCTGGGATGTTAAGAAACCCAACCAAGTGATGGGTTATCACACAGACAAGAAGGGCGTTGTCAGCTGGGTTTCCCGGAGTTGGCAGCATTCCCGCACCGCCCTCGCTCTTTCCTGTGTGGAAGCCAGTGGGTCTACCTAGCAGCCCCGCCCCGCTCCAGCCAGGTCCCCGAGGCACGAGGTGGACCACTGTCTTAGAGCCCTTTACGCAGGACGTGAGGAGTGAGCAGTGCACAGCTTGCAGCCTCCACCTGGAGCCAGAGACAAGCCCTGCGCACGCACACACATGCCCTGGCACGCAGCTGTGAGACGCGGGGCGGGGGAGGGCCAGGAGTCCCCCATGACATGCATGTGCGGAGGCTGACGGCCCCGAACACCTGGCCGAGGCGGAGACAGTGGAGACAGGCGGTGGGAGAGAATGAGGTCCAATGAGGTCAGAGGCAGAAGAGAGAGGCGACAGGACATGATCAATAGACGATGAACCCTGCACCCAGGGCCGCTAGATGGCATGTTCCGGGAGACACAGGACATGGAGAGAGAAAGATGTGAGGAGCTCGGCCTGAGCCAGCTCCACCTGGCAGGAGGCCCTGTGCCCAGACCAGCCTAGAACTTACCCACTCAGGACCATGCCCAGCGCCACAGGTGCCCGCACAGGAGCACACGTGTGAATGGCTGGGGACTAGCATTAAACTAGGAGCTTGGGGAGCAGAAACAGCGCAATGCAGCTGTCCAGGGTGATAGTAGGCACCAGAGGACGATAGTTCACAAAATTAAACATTGTTTTTCAGGGTCTGTAAGGAATCTGAGGGATCTAACCCAATTGCTGATTTTAAAGAAGAGACGATGACAGCCGCACCTGGAGTCAGGAGGGGAGTGGGACTAGAACCCAGCCCCCTGCTCCCACCACAGAGCAGGTCTCTGCTCTGCCTCTGTGCCCACGGCTAGAGGAGGGCAGCTGAAGGGCCGGGAGTGGGAGTCTCTGGCCCGCTCCTTCATGCGCTGGCTCCTTCCACGGCTGCTGAAAGGAAAGTGGTCCTCAAGAGACAGCAGTGGGAGTGCTGAGGGCAAAGGTCACCCCCCCAGGGGCCTGGTCACATTGGGGGCTCCTGTGCTTGCTGAACCACATCACAAAGAGTGAGGGGAATAGACGGGGTGAGGAAAAAGGGAGAGAGAGAAAAGGAGACATTGGACTCAAAGAAAAGTAACCTGCTTAGCCTCACAGGGGGGGCTGCAATAAATAGGACTTTTAAAGTAGCACCCAACTAATCCACATCAGAGCCTGGGCCAGCAGCTCCATGCCCTTTGCTCCTCAGCTACTGACTGTTTTACACATGGGGACACGGATGCCCAGAGAGCGCCCGGGCCTGGTGCAGAGCTGCACAGAGGACGTGCGACCTGTAGGGGCAGGAGTCTAGCAGCTGCCCCAAACTCTTCCACTAGGACACCAGGTCCCCCTGGCAGCCTGCTGCTGGGGTAGCGTGGCCTGTCTCTCTTGCTCACCTTTTCCTCACCACCCTGGGGAGGGAGTTGTGGAGACAGACCTCCCACCCACGGGAGAGATGGTTTCATGAAGAGTCTCTGGCTGGAGGCTGGGAGGCCGGCTTGGCCCAGCCCCACCTCCTCACAGGGGACACTCACCATTCATCTGGGAGGGCGAGGAGGAGTAGTCCCGCTCCGTGTGCCGCCGGTCCGGTTTCAGATTGCGGCTTTGTCTGCCAGAGCCTTCCAACATGTTCACGATCTCGCTCCGGTCAATGTTCCGCAGGGCGGCGTACAGGTTCTCCACTGTCGGGGAGAAGGAAAGAAGGGCTTGCGAGGGAATTCTGATGGGTGCAGGGCAGTGCAGAATGCCTTGGGGCTCTGAACACCGGGAGAGGGAAACGGGAGATGGGGGGAGGTGGTTTATTTTTTCAGAATGTGGAGGCATTCCTCTTTGGTCAGAATCAAAGCCAACTGCCTCTGTGGAGAAGATGTCGTTATCCTTTAATAGATCTAGTCCAGTCCCTAATAGTGGCCAATTTCAAAGCCTGGAAAGACTACTGTCATTTAAGAAGAAAACTACAAGAGAAGGAGCGTGAGAATAGTTAAAATGCTTGGTCCTGAGGATTCGCTGAGAATGCTGTATCTCAGGGCCAATGGACTTGAGATGCAAATGGAAACACTCCATTTCTTCTTAGTGGTTTTGACTACGGGAATTTGGTTGAGGAGGAGCTGAAAAGAGTGAGACAAATCTTCCCCCAGGTTGGAGGAAAAGAGGCTTCTGGGAGGAGGAGGAGGACAGGCTTCGCTCACCCGTGCTCTGTCCCCAGAGGACGGTCCTCATTTGTTTGAGAAATTCAACAGGAAGTCACATACCCTACACGTGTGCTGCTACCTAGGGGTCCTGGTGCAACTGTCATTGACTGTGAGGACGGGGCAAGCTGGAGGCCAAGGTTCTCTGGTTTCCTCTTCTGGCGGATTGCCCAGAAGACCCAGTGAGCCTGAGAGGTGTGTGTGTGAGAGGGACAGAGTGCAAAACAGACCGGATCCGAATGCTAACATGAAACATGGATTCTGAAAGCAGAACTACTGTGGAGAAGACTAGGTCCTGGCACAGGCTTTGGAAAGAGAGGCGTCCTCAGCTTAATGGTACTGACTCTTGGCGTTTGTGCCTTCACGGATGACCCAGAGGTTCAACAAGGCTGCGCTCTGCTCCAACAGCGAGTTGGGGTTTTCTACGCGGATCCTGTTGATGTCTTCCACGCTGAACTGCAGCTCCCGGGCCAGCTCTGCAAGCAAAGAACAAGACCCGGTGTGAGCCAAGCTAGAGCTGGGCTCCAGCGCCCATGCACCTTTGGATTGGATAGTCCTTCTTACTGAGAAATACCAAGTGAAACCTAAGATGACCAGGCAGCCTCTTAGAAAGGTTAGCAACTTATCCAAGGTCACAGAAGCTGGTGCAGAGCCAGGAGTGGGGCCGAGCCTGCGGACGCCCACTCCAGGGCTGTCTGTATGGCACCAGGAGGCCACTCACATTCCACCAGGAAGCAATTAGAATGGCAATGCATTCCTGTAGTTACATTTCTTCAGGGAAAGGCATTATTTACATTTTAAATGAAAATACAAGTTCCCCTCTAAAAGCCAGGCAATAACACAGAATGTTCGCCTATTTTCCTTCCCATTATCTTTATTGTTATGTCTCACAGGTGCTTTAGAAGGGAGAGCAGCATCAGAGTCTAATTTCAAGGATGAGAAAGACCAGAGGGAAAGTTACAGTGAGAATCAGAAGGTGCCTGTAACACACACACACCTTTTCAGAATCAGCAGTAGACATTCTTTTTTTTTTTTTTGGCTTAAAGAATGAAGTCTCTGAATTCCTGTTGTGAACATTGGTCACACTGCCCTTCAGCAAGTTCTTGCTTAGGTTTCTGAGTTTGTCTGAAGCCCTCCTGCAGGGGGACTAAGGAGGCCTATTCATATAAAATCTCACCAAAAGACGGGGGAGAATTCAGTTATAGGGCCTATGACTGTGTAAAGCACGTTTCGAGCTTTCACTTTATTTTGCCCACTCTTCACTTCCAATGTGACCCACCCTTATTGTTGACAAGACATGGGGTAGATTTCAGCGACTGCCGGAGATTGTAAATGAAAAATGTTGAGATTTAGCCTTTAATTCCCCCTTTCCCTCAGCAACACCAGCCTGTGAGGAAAGGCAATGAGAAGTGTGTAGGGGGAGGTGGACAGGCCGCCAGGTGACCTATCTTTTGCTCGAGTGTTTGTTATTTGTTTGCTGGGTTTTCTGGGCTCCGTCCCTAACTAGCTACATATTTAAAGTCACTCTATTTAGTGGGATCTCCATTTTCCCATCTGTAAAATGAGGTGAACTAGATCAATTCTAAGGCCTCTTGTAATGTCAAACGTTGATTCTTTCTTACAGAGGGAATCCAGATAGAAATGGGAGAGAGAGAGAGGGAGCACCTGCCTTTCTATTGGCCCCAAAGGTGTTGCTTGGGCAACAGACCTACCTAAGACAATCACAACACAATGGATGGTAAAAAGAGGTTTAGAAATGCTTTCGTCAGGTGCTCATTAGGGGGAGGTGTACACAGGCAAAGTGCTTTTTCTACCTCAAACTCCGTGGCTCACCTGCCCAGCTGAGACCCAGGTGTTCGGATATAATGGCCATCTTCATGTCTGCTCGGTCTGTCCCACTGAGAAAACCTGGGAAGAAGCATGGGATTTCATTGAGTAGCCTCGGTGGGACACAGAATCGACAGGGGTGAGTCAATGACCTCAGGTGGGTGCCCATGTCAGGGGTGAACCTCAGTGTGCACCAGGTTAATTGAGAACCCTGGAAGGGTCAGGAGGAGACCCAAGCCAAAGGCTCCACCTGCTGTGTTTATAACATATCAACCTGACACCTGCTGCGTCAGTCATATCAACAGGGAGCTGCTGTGAGGGTGAGAGGAGTGGGCTCACTCACAACCTCCTTGGAAAAGGTAGCGGGCACATAGCATGCCAGGGAGGTGTATACCCAGTGTGGATTCGCTGAGAACGCTGTATCTCAGGGCCAGCGGTGTCAGAGTCCGTCTCCTGTCATCGGCTCCGCCCCCCTGCAGAAGGACGACAAGGAAAGGGTGCTGTGGGTTTCAGGCTCTCCCCTTTCTTGGAGAAAGGGATTCAAGCCTATAAGCTGTGGGGTAGAGAACAGTAAGACTCCAACTTCTTTGGAGCCTGAACACAAAGAGTAGAAGTGTGGGGGTGAGAGGGTGTTGCTAATCTGCACATAATTTAATAATGATGATAGTAATCTATAATAATAAAAGCATAATATGCTAATTAGACTAGACGTCCTTCTGGACAAAGCCGGGGCTGTGAGGGAAGCCCGGGTTCCGGGTGCCAGAGGGAAGCCAGTGCCAGTAGCCGGGGAAAGAAAGGCCTACTCTTGCACAAATTTTGTGCATTGAGCCTCTAGTGATAATAATATTAATAATAGTAATAATGCCTGGCTGACGTGGCTCAGTGATTGAGCATCGACCCAGGAACCAAGAGGTCACCAGTTTGATTCCCTGTCAGGGCACAGGCCTGGGTTGTGGGCTCGATTCCCAGTAGGGGACGTGCAGGAGGCAGCTGATCAATAAAGTTTCTCATTGATGTTTCTACCTCTCTTTCCCTCTCCCTTCCTTTCTCTTTAAAAATTCAATAAAAAATATATATTTAAAAAAATAATAGCAATAATTACAAACCCGCGAGGCCCTTATCATGTTCCAGGCCCTGTGTAATCCTCACAATGACCATGTCATCGATGAGGAAACTGAGGCACAGACAGGCTGTATAACTTGTGCAAGCTCACTCAGCTAATAAATGGTGAAGCTGGGGTTTGAACTAAACAAAGAGAGGATTTCTGGATTCCTTTCTGCTCAAAAGACCCACTTGTGACACTGGTCCGAGGCCTAACGCCATGGAAAAGCACCCCGATGCTTGCTCAAGGATGCAGGAATTCTATTTTGAAAGAGAAGTTGGCTCCCCCTGGTCCCCAGACAGGAAGGAGAATTTGAGCCACAGATGCATGAGTGTAACCTTGCTGCTTTTCTATTTTGGCAGGGAAGGCTGATTATTAAAACAACACCAGCAAAAACATGGAGACATATGATCACTCCCAAGTCCCTGTGATATATGCTGACGCGGACACCCCTACGGATTTCAATAAGCAGCCATACTTGGTCAAGATGCCTTTGCTGAGCTCAAAAACCTGGGTGTTTGCACTGGCTGAGACACCAGGGATCCCTTCTCTGAGGGCCTGCCTCCCTGGGGAAGCACCTGAAAAAGAGGCTCCAAAAAAGCTTTCAAATGGCTGGGTGACCTTGAGCAACTCAGTGCCCAGTTCTAAGCCTCAGGGGCCTCAAGCGAGGGGTGCCAGGTAGATGCTTTTCAGGTTCCTTCGAACCTCCTCGAAGGGACATAGTCCCTAGGGTGAACACGCAGATTGCCACCTGACACGGATGTTTTGTTCCTGAGCTTTGCAGAAAGGGCCAGGCCTGCTGTCCCTGCCAGGCCACAGCCAAATGTCAGAGGAGACCGAAGAGCCTTCCCGAGCCTCCCCAAGCCTCAGGGAATTCAAAGGCAGCTTTTCAACAGGGGGAAGCCCTTTGGAAGTGGTCAACCTACGACCTCCTCAGGGACCCCACCTGTGGCCCAGGATCCTCCTCAGGGGGCAGCTCACCTTGGTGCAGGGGGGCATGGTGATGTTCAAGTGGCAGAGGATGTGCTGCGTGTCCTCGTACTTCATCGCCTTGCGCAGGAACGACAAGGACCCTCCTGGTTCTCGGCTGCTGTCCCTCACCTAAATCCAATCACACAGAGGGGACTCAGGGGGGCGTTCCCCAGGCCACGAGGTTGGCCAAGACATTTCTGCCTCCCCAACTTTCTAGACCCGGAAGCGAGGTCGGCACCTTTACAGGAATGGCCAGACGGTTCTCCCGGAATGACTGGAACTGGAAACTCCGCTGCTGGGCAGCTTTTTTGACGGGCACCAGGTTCCCGGAGAGTTCTGCGAACAGGGGCGTCCCTTCCAGCACCTGCAGGGAAGGGAAAGCAATCCAGCTGTCACGTAGAAGCACCCAGATGTGCTGTCCTGCCTTCAGCTCTGGCCATTCCTCCCTCGAGACACACCCCTCCTACAGCACCAGGTGCAGGTCTGCTCTGGGAACCCACTGTTGGTTTGGGAAAAGGTTATATTTCCAGGTTACGCTTTCTTACTGGAAAGGGTTTTACTGCAAGCAGGGACCTTCATGCATCCCTGTGTGGCTGACCAGGATTGTTGTCAGGGTGCCCTAGAACCCCACGAGGATATCACAAAATGACTTCTGAAAAAACAAACCGTTTTTCACACCCGTCCAAAATGTTTAGTGTATGCAAAGTGCTAGAAGGACCATGCAAGTTTTGTTTGTTTGTTTTTTTGTTAATCCTCACCAGCCCTATTTATTTCTTAGAGAGCATGGAGGGGAGAGGGAAAGACAGAAAGAGAGAAACACTGATATGAGAGAGACACATCGATTGGTTGCTTCCCACCAGGGCTGGGGATCGAGCCTGCAAACCGAGGTATGTGCCCTTGACCGGAATTGAACCCAGGACCCTTCAGTCCGAGGCCGACGTTCTATCCACTGAGCCAAACCAGCTTGGGCCCAGGCGACATTTTAATCTCACCCCTAACATAAGGGGCCCTACTGTGTATATACTGCTTTCAATTGACCCCATTGGACAGTTGAGGAAATTGAGGCCCAAACAGAATAAATGCTTTGTCTAGTTAGTTCTTTCTTCTAGGCCGTCAGCCACCCACAAAGGCTCAGCACAAACTTCAAGACCAGACTTTTGGGAAGGTCCTGGCTTATCACACATCTTAACATGAGCCAATATCCTGGGGCCAGTGGCAGGTTCCAATCCAGTCATCATCTGTCGCGCCCTCTCCCCTGCTTCCTCATCTGGACGCTACCAAAACCCTAGCACAGCAGGTCAGAGTGTGGGCTCTGGGGTCAGTCCACTTGGACAAATCCTTTCCCGACTGTTTACTTAGTTATGTGACCTTAGATAGGTTACTTAACCTCTCTCAGCTTCAGTCTCCTCATCTGTAAATTGGGGATAAAAGTACACACACTTTTGAGAATCAGGTGAGATTATGCTAGTCAAGCACTTTTACTATTAGCTGGTACCTAAGGACTTTAACAAATTTCAGCTCTCATCATCACAAATCACTGGGCCAACAATGACGTTCTTCACCTTCAGGTGCTTCTCAAGAGGGGCATCAAAGAAACAGCCCAGGCCCTACCAGGTTTGGCTCACTGGATAGAGCGTCAGCCTGTGGACTAAAGGGTCCTGGGTTCAATTCCTGTCAAGGGCACATGCCTGGGGCATGCAGGAGGCAGCTGATCAATGATTCTCATCATTGATGTTTCTCTCTCTCTCTCTCTCTCTCTCTCTCTCTGTCTCTCTCTCTCTCTCTCTCTCTCCCTTTCTCTCTGAAATCGATCAAAATATATTTAAAAAAAAGAGATAGCCCAGGAAGCCTACCCCCATCACCGAGAAAGGATTTCCCGTCTCACTGTGGGAAGTGAGCCGGCCCTCGAGTGCCCAGTGACAAAGGGGTGCGGTGCTTACCTCTATGTCCCTGCTCCGGGCCACCTCAACGAAGTTCTCGTGATGCTCGAGGGTCTTGTCCACCTTATCATCTGTCATACAGTAGCAGCGCAGCCGCCCTTCTCGGGGGTCATTCATCTTGGCAAAAATGACAAACTTGGCCATGTAGGGCACCGCAGTAAGCTCCTTGTACAGCAGGGTGGCGAAGTTCACGGCCTCAGCCGTCCGAGGACAGTCCGACAGCCAAAACCTGAAAAGAGAGGGCTAAGTATAAGCACGTTCCTAAATGCCCGATGGACAGCTTCACTGCCACCCAGACAGGAGCGACCTGCAAGCCATGCCATGGCCTCTCTGGCACTCCTGGTGGTCCCTGCAGGGCTTCGATGTGGAGGACACTGAGGTTCAAGCCTGGGATGGGCAGGTGGGGGCATGAGGGTGGCTACCGGCAGGGGCAGCGCTGACCCCTCCATGCAGGGCCCGGAAGTCCCCTGGGCTGGGACACGTCTCACCTGGCAGAGACGTTGGTGGTGAAGGTGGCACACTCGTTGGCATACACAAGCTTGGTTGTTCCTGTTATATCTTCCCACTGGGCTTGGTCTGTTCCTCCTACAACAGGACCAGAGAATGGGCTGGGAGGCAGTCTTCAGAACACAGACACAGAGCTTGCCAAAGCAGGGAGGCCAGTGTGCAGGGCAGAGACAGGCACATCTGGTGAAGCCCTGAGCACACCTGTTCTCCCATACTCTCCTCCCCCTCCTCCTAGCGACCCACAGCCCCCTTCCCAGAACAGCCAGGGGTGCTTCCATGGAAGGCGTGGACTCTACTCAGATGCATCACCCCTCCATCCCTTTGGAGAGCACCTCACTAGGCCAAGCCAATAAAATGCGAGACGACGGCTATCTTTGCCTTCTCCTGTCTCCCCCTGGAGTGGCTGGAAGGAGGACAGGAGACAGGCCAGAGGCCAGGGGTCACCTCTCACCAATGACGCTGCAGAGCAGGCGCAGGCTGGTGGTGTCTCCCTCCCCGCTGTCCCGTGGGTTGTCCGTCCAGGAAGGAGGGAGTGGGATCCGCAGCCCGATGGGCCGGTGAAATTTCCGGCGCCTGGGCTCCACGGTGACAATGGGGCTGAACGTGGCCTGGTTGCCCAGGAGTTTGGTGACAAGCTCATCTGGAACAGGCTGGGCCTGCGAAGGGCCGAACAGGGGACACTCAGCCCCAGAGCCTCAGAGGGGCTCGTGGACAGGAAACAGCACAGTCCCCAAGGGGAAGGCGGGCTGTCTCTACAGAGTGGAAAGGTGGGACCCAGGGCTGCCCAGGGCTGACATCACTGCTTAGCTCTCCTTTCTGAGCCCTTTCTTGCCATTTCCCTGTGGCTCCTCATTGCTGGGATGGTACCCTCCAGGAGGCCACGTGGGTTAATGCCTTATCCGGGACATTCAGCAACTTCACAGGGAGCTGCTGCCCGATCCCACCCACCCAACTGTCGTTTGAGCTTTAAGGTCAAATCTCTAATGAAACTTTCAGGCACTGGACAAAAGTGTGGGGGTGAGGGTCGTCTTCCTGAGGGCCTTGAACACTTTCTACCTTTCATGAACTCTGTCTGGGTGCGGTAGGGGCGGGGCAGGGGGCGCCCCATCGGGTGAGGAGGGGGCCACGTCACCTGCAGAGCCAGCTTCACTCTCTTGGTGACGGCGTTTTCTGGGAAGGTCGCCTGCACCAGGGGCACCAGCTTGCTCTTCAGAGAGCCCCCTTCAGGGCCGATGGTGTCGTAGTCCTGGCAGAGCCGGGACATGATCACGAAGTACAAGGGGAAGTCCGTGGTGATGATGCGGCACACCCGCTTCTTCTCCAGCTCCTCCAGACTCCCCAGTTCTGGAACCACAGGGCACGGTGCCCTTAGCCCCGGCATGCTGAGCCCAGGCTCAGCCCCTCCATGTCCCAGAGCCCCCTCAGCACTACTCTCTCCGGGGGCAGGCCTCCACCCGGTGGGGGGCCTGGGAGGGGGGGAGGCTGAGCTGCGGGAGGGAGAAATCCCTGCAGCCAGAAGGTCCAGCAGAAGGAGATGCAGGTGGCACATAGGGGTCAGGTGCTCACTCAGATGCCCTAGGGCAGCGGTCGGCAAACTGCGGCTCGCGAGCCACATGCGGCTCTTTGTCCCCTCCCGGAGTGTGGCTCTTCCACAAAATACCGACTTCTGTGCATGGGCCACGAAGTTTCAATCACACTGTATGTGTGCGCCTGCATGTGGTATTTTGTGGAAGAGCCACCCTCAAGGGGACAAAGAGCCACATGTGGCTCGCGAGCTGCAGTTTGCCGACCATTGCCCTAGGGACCTGGAACTGCACTAAACGGGCCCTCTGCAGTCTCTCGGGGCTCTCCAAACTCCAGGCGGCCAACAGCCCACCCCCAAAGTCCAGCCTCAAACGCCATCTTCCAGAAGGAGGGCGCCTGCTCTGGGGCCTCTGGGGCTCAGTTACCTTCGTCCATTCCGTTGAGGATCTGGTCCAGGTAGCTTTCTCCGTAGCGGCTCTTGTGTTCCTTCCACACGGAGCCGTTTTCACTCCGCAGCACCACGAGCTCGCGATCCCCGCGGCCATGGGAGGCGAAGTGGGGGATCTCCACAATCACAGGGCTGCGGGCACAGAGCGGATGGTGGGGAGGTGTGAGGATTCGGGGGTACGCGCCTTGCGGCCAAGGGAGGGAAGAGGGGGGTGTGGGGCAGCTGGTTCCTGCCTGGAGGGAGAAGGGGTCCTGTAGCCACAGTGGGGCCCCACCTGTGGGCAGGTCCCGACTGTGGAACAGACCTGCCTCAGGTTCCTGAGCCACCCCATGGCCCCTGTCGGTCACCGCCAGGCAAACAGCTCTGCCCTGGAGCCTGCCTGGCATCTCTGCACAGCGCTTCTCGGAGCCCCGGCTTCCCGCTAGCACAGCAATCATGACGGGAGGCTTTTGGGACTACACTCGAAGGGGAGATCAGCACAGAGGCCTCTGCAGGCTGCTTTACAAGTGGTGGATGAGAGCTTGGGGTGGAGACAGGGAGTGGACAGAGATGAGAAGGCAGGGCCTCCTGGGCAAGACCTGTCCCCACGCGCCAGCCGCTGCCAGCCGTGGTGCCTGAAGAATAACAAAGCTCTGGCAGAAGCCCCGCCTGCCGCAGACGCAGACGAGGTGAGGAATGAATGGGCTTCGAAGCCCATTGATCTTGCTGGCCATGGGGTGAGGCTGTAAAGTTGTCTTAGTCCAATAAGACCATTTTGAAGCTGAAATAATTAAACCCTGGTGGGGGGGGGGTCCCCAAAGTAGCTCTGTCTTCCTGTCCCTTCTCTAGTGTCATACGGGGTTGGAGTGTATTGAGTTCCACCCGGGCTGTGGACTCCTTCGTGTACCAGGAACAGGCAGTTAAAGGGGGCGGGGGCTCAGGGTGCTGCTCCTGTCAGGACAGCAGAGAAATGAGATGATGGGGGCACCAGGCTCGTCCGCTCTCTGCCCTGTGGTGGATGGCTCTGTGGTTGCTGCCGAGGTGGCCGCGATGGACCCACAGGGCAGGGACAGGTTAGGGACACCCTGCACAGACAGGCCTCGCACCTCAAGAACTGAGCCCCGGTGGGCCCCAGCGCGATGATTCTGCTGGCCAGGCCCTCCTCCTCGGCCAGCGGGGGCGGCGTGCTCAGCTTCTGCGGCTTGACCAGGCGGCAGGTGATGCGAGTGGGTGCCGCACACGTCCGAGGCGGGATCACCACCCGCAGGCCATTGTGCCGACTCCCTCTCATGGAGCCTCCCCGGGCATCCACCATGAAGCTCACCAGAAACCTAGGGCACAGGCAGATCCGTGTTGGGTATCCACGTGCTCCCTCTGAGACAGGGAGCGTGGGGGTCCAGTCCCTCGCGGGGGCCACTCACCCTGTGTGCACGGGGCTGGCCACCGGGCTGATGTTGTCTGAGGTCTCTGTGGCTGGGCTGCTGGGGATGAGTGAGTCTTCATCATACTCTTTAGATGCCTGAGGAGGAGAAGAAGGACAACTGTCTTAGCCCCTCCCAGGCCACAGGTGCTGGTCTTGGGACAGCCGATGTTGAGCCCGGCTGGGGAGGCTCAGGAGCACCTCCTCGCCAGTAACCACGGAGACCAACGGAGGAAGTGCACCCACAGGCTCACTGCCGAACCTGTGGGTGCAAGGCGCGCCTGGAGTCAAAGGAAGCATGGCCACTCCTCGGCTCACGACCCTGGGACGGAGTCTCGGAACGGACGGAGCAGGTCCTCCCTCCAGTCTGGCTTCAATCTTAGGTCCTGTGCCCACTACTGACCTAACCCCCTGTTCTCCAGCTACACCCCAGCCTGAAACCTCTGCTTGAGGTGGCTTGGTTTTCACACTAGAGTTGGCAACAGACCCTGTACCATCGCCTACTCGTTCTTTAGTTCTGGGTGAGCTCCTTGTCCTGTAGGCATCTGAGGTACATGAGGTGACTAGAACGGACCAGTGCCCGTGTGTGTGTGTGTGTGTGTGTGTGTGTGTGTGTGTGTGTGTGTGGCGGTGGGGGGTGGGGGTGACGGACGGGCAGCTTCCTGTTATCTCATCTACAAATGGGACAGACCCTGCCTCACAGTAATGCTGCAACTACAGGTCATGGGGCTGCCTCACACAAGGACTCATGAAAGCCATCAGGGCCTGGACCTGTCTCCATCCCCTCCAGGCCTATTCTCCTCTGCTCTGCTCATGCTTTCCCACAGGTGCAGACGCCCTTGTCCCTCTCCTTCACTCTTCACTTTTCATGCCTCGCCTCCTCCATCAATCTTTCCCTTTGACTCTTGTCTGGAAAAACTCACACCACACTGTTGAGCACCTAGATATTTACGCTTCCCTCATTTTGTGCTAAATGGTTTCATGTAGCTGAGTCCACCCTTGCCAGTTGGACCATCAGCTCCTAGGAGGCAGGTCTGGGTCTCCTAGTCTGCCATCCGGCCCTATGCAGGGCACACAGTAGGACTCCAGCAACACCTGCTGATTTGAGGAGTCGTAGAGAATGGGTTGGTCAAGGAACAGCAGGACACAGCTCCACCAGCTGCTTTTGTTGATCTGGGCAGCACCCAGGGAATGTGCCCCAGCAGGATTAGGGCCATATCTGACCATGTCCCCCAAATGCCACCCAATGAGTGACACCAATATCCGCCACCACAATACACCCAGCCTAGAATGGCTGGCTGGACAGCTTCACAGCCACTTGGGGCCAGGGCTATGGCTGCTGCACTTAGACACACTTCCCGTCAGGGGCAGTGGAAGAGACCAGGCTTTGTGGGACACAGACACCCCTGGCTCAGTTATCAGGCCTCAGGCTGTCATTTCCAACCTCAAACACCACACTGCTTTCTTTTTATGCTAGAAAAACCCCAGAAGAGACCATTTGTGGGACACAGACACCCCTGGCTCAGTTATCAGGCCTCAGGCTGTCATTTCCAACCTCAAACACCACACTGCTTTCTTCTTATGCTAGAAAAGCCCCTTGTTCTGGGGGGGGGGGGGGGGGGAAAGGGGCCCAC